ACCCTTCCGCCCTCGTGTCCCATTACTGCCTATAGGATGGGTGTACATGTGAATTCTCCCCACCCTGCTGATCTTTATCCTGATTGGCTCCTGTACATTATATTAGCCGTGTGTGTTTTCTCAATAAACGAGCTCCTGCTTTGACTGTTCTCCCTGACGTGTCTGATTATCCTCCGGTGAGGGATGTGGGCGGTCAGTCGGCCCTCTCCTTTCTTGGCTCATCCTGGACAGGGCGTGGTCTCCCCATCTTTCCCGCAGGTCAGGAGGGAACCAGGGCTAAAAACCCCGACACATCTAAACTTGAAATCTGTTTTGTACAAAGCAAAACTCTTTGCATGCATCAAGGGAAAAGCCGGTGGTAGGACTTATATGTGCCTCTAAACTGTAGTGGGAAATACCCTTTTTGGGAAACAGTATGGATCAATGGGATTTTTCTCTCTATGTAAAATTGTTATTGAAATAACTTATTTTGCAGTCCTGAGGTAATAAATAAAGCATTTATGACTTGGAATAAATTGAGAGCATCCCATTACTTGTAGTAGCAGGCATGTTCATATTCTTTTAAAGCCTCAGGCAGTGACGTCAGCAGATTTTTTAAATTTTCTGATCCATAGGCTTCTGATTTCTGTCAAAGAACTCACATTTAAATATTGAGTAGGTCTTCAGGGACCCTTTCTGATATGACTATGTTTTGTAGTGCCTCTTGTAAATTGTGTTTAACTTCAGTTCCCTGAAGATAGCTTGGTATTTTGGAAAGAACATGGGCTTAGAATTTACATACAGTTACTTTATTTGTTTGGTAACAGGATCTTTGGTTCACGTTCAGATTATTGACCCATTAGCAATCTGGAATTTTCTGATGATCAGACTCAGTTCAACAGTTTTTGTGATTCCTGGAATGCCAAAAGGCACTCTTCACTTAGCCTTTGTAGAGGGTCCTAGTGCCATTACATTTTACATACAGACATGCACACCTTCTGGGATCATCTTGATCTAATATAGTTCCCATGGCAGTTTTGGGTTTTCATCCTGTTCTACACCATGACTCTTTTGTGCTTTGGTGGGATTCATACTGGAGAACCATCTCAGCTGATCTGCTAGTTCAAGAATGCCAGATACTCATACTAAGTATAACCTTCAGTTTTTCTTCCAGGACATAGTCTGCATATCTGAATATAGTTGATCCTTCCTGTTCAAACATTTGCCACTTACTTATTAACAAGTATTTATTGAGTATCCTCTGTCTATAAGAGTCTATGTTGTGGGCTGGGGAAGAGTGAATGGTGAATTATCCATGACTTCAAGAAGTTTATAATCTAAGAAGAAAGATAAGGCAAACAAGTTTGTGTGTGGTAAGGTGAGGGAATTGGTCACATTGAATTTCGAATTTTTGTTTAAAGGGAGGGATGAAATGTTCAAATCTTTGTAGGTATAAAGTCCATAGTGTCTTTTAGGAACAGGAAAACATGCATTTTGCTAAATGTAGAAGCAAGGACAAGTGGACTTGTGGGAGATAATCATTCAATCATTCTTATCTTCAAAATGAGAATATTCTATAGTACATAGTAGTTCCATCCTTGCAAAGTTGTTAGAAAGATTAAGCATTTATAAAAACAATTGCCATGTTATCTGACTGTTATGGTTTGGATATGAAGGGTCCCACAACAGCTATTGTATTAATGGAGAAATGGTTGGAGGTGAGATGATTGGATTGTGAAAGCTGTAACCTAATAGGTTTGGATGGACTGGGTGGTAACTGTAGGAAAGTGGGGCATGGCTGGAGAAGGTGGGTCGCTGGGGGTGTGCCTTGGAAGCCTACTTCTGTCCTGGAAAGGTACATCTTCCTTGTGGCTTCTCCCCGCTTCCTCTCTCTCTGCTTCCTGAACCTGCCTTGAACTGAGCAGCTTCCCCCACTGAGCCCTTCCCCTGTGATGTGCTGCCTCAGCTTGGGCCTAGAAAAATGACGTTGGCCATCTCTTGACTGACACCTCTGAAACTGTGATCTCCAAATAAACTTTTCCTCCTCTAAGTTGTTCTTCTTGGGTATTTTAGTCACAGCGACAAAAAGCTAACTAAAACACTGGCAAATGGTATTGCTTTATGAATTTTAAGTTATTTTCTATTCTAACAGTGCTGCCATTACTGAATCAATTTGGGAATTTATTTTTTGAAATAGTTTTCAGAGCTTGCTGTAGATCATCAGAGTATAGTTAGCCCTATTAGGGAAAAAATTACATCTGTACTGAACATGTATAGATTTTTCTTGTTATTGTTCCCTAAATAATACAGTTAAACAACTATTTACATAACATTTACCTTGTATATTAAATATTGAAAGTATTGAATTTTGATATCAATGGAGGGTAGAACCTATCCCTCTCAGATACTTAACGACTACCACATTTCAATGGAAGAAATCTTTTTTTCTTTAAGAATGTGTTTGATTTTTAAAAACAGACTCATTCAGAAAATATCAAGATTCATAATACTGTTCAGATATTGAAGTTAAGTATGATTATAATGGGATTTTCTTTTGTAGTATCTATTGGTGCATGTTCTGGCTTTCTCAAGGGGACATTGACAGAGTATTCTATTTGGGACAATGAATTCAGGGAATTAACTATCATAAAATCTTCTGATTTTTGAGGACCATTCTGATAAATCAGGCAGTATTAATAAGCTCAAGAGACCTGAGGACTTTCATATATTTAATTATAAGTTAGCCATCAAAAGTTTCCTTTTAGCAATAAAGAATTTAGCAGGGGGAAATGTTCCAAAGTGCTACACCATTATTCTTGTATACATTTGGTGGTTTTCTTTGGAGCTAGGTAAGTACACAGGAATCTGTGGCTGAAATGCAGCGAGGATAGTATTCTCTCCTTGTGAACCAGAGAAGTCTGTGGCCTTCAGACATCCATCCCCATAGTGGGGAAGGGACCTGTAAGGAAGAAGTAGAGGAAATAGACGTGGATGGAGAGACATGTTTGCAATTTTTAAAGGCCTAGAAGACTTGTGCAGAAGGATCCACAGGCAAATTTCATAGGAGATTGGAGGCACAAGCAAATCAGCCTGCCAGAAAAAAAAATTAAAAGGAAGTGGTTGGGGAGCATAGGGGTGAGTGGCTGGAAGCTGCATTCCCAGGATGGTGTGGGAGCTGGTGTGGGATTAGCACATCTAGGGGAGATCTAGTAACCATGCCCAGGTTACTGTGGGAAACCTGATATTACATTATGACCCAGAGGTTATGGTGGGTTCAATATTTTATCTCACATTGTATATAAGATTCTAAATGTGAAGTACCAAGTAAATTATAAAAGCTTATGAGCATGTTAATTATTTTTAAATGTTTTACTAATTTGTACCTGAATTTACCTCATCTTATAGAATGTTTTTTGTTTTTTTGTTGATGTTGAAATGATTCACTGGGAGCATGTGATGGGGAGGGATGCAGGGAATAGAGCAAAGTGTGTTTGGGAGTCCTGAGTGGGCAAGGAGGAGAAGATGACAAAGCTCTCATGCCTCCTGGGCAGCGGTGGGGCAGTCCTACAAGAAGCTGGGGCCTGGGCCTGGTTGCCAGGGCCAGCTGTGGGCCAGACTTCACTAGGAATTGGTTTCCCTGAGCTTTTTATCTTTTGAGGTTCTATGGAATATCACTCTCAGGTTTCAGATTGGCACTGTTGATAGTTCCCTTTGGATAGTGTTTTCCTATTGAAGCTGACTGCTTAGGGACTTTGAGGGGTTATTCTACAGCCTAGCTGTGGAAGAAAAGTCATTAAGCAGCCTTTGACTAGAACTATGGCAAAAACCCACAGGTTGTTTATATTCATTTCTTTTCCTTCAACCTTAAATATTAAAATCAAATTTGAAGTTACTTTGAAAATGCAAAATTCAAAGTCCTTACTGTTATAAAAAGAATCTAGAAAGTGAATATAAATAAAACAACCCTATTTACCTTTTAAATTCTACAAATTAATTTCCTTAACTGTTGTTAACCAGGTGATCAATGTCAGCAATGTGCATGAACACACACTCTCATGTGGGGAAGATTCTGGGGCCCTGTAGGCAATCAGAGACATTCAGAGTGCTCTTATGACACATTTTAGAGACCTTTATGTTAAATAGATGATTATATTCTGACAGAATGCTTTTTGGAAAGCCAGAATTTTGCCTCTTGACAAAATTTTCTATTTATGATATAATTGAGAGTCTGACAGTAATATAAAAAATAGGAAATTTAGGTAAAATAGTAGCAGAAGCAACTAAACATCAAACTTATTTCTGACAAATGACCTGATTAATTTCTACTAGATAAAAAAAAAATCAGGATATGTGTATATATTTTATTGTTACCTAATAAATTACCACAAACTTAGTGGTTTGACATAAATTTATTATCTTATGTCTTCTGGATTAGAAGTCAACATGGATCTTACTGGCTGAAATCAGGTGTCAGCAAAAATTGCTATCCTTTTGGGGGCCTTAGGGGAAATCCCTTCCCCTGTCTTTCCAGCTCTAGAAGCTGCCACATTCCTGGGATTCTGGGCTTCTTCCGTCATCAAAGCCTGCAATCCACTATCCTTTTGGAATCACATCTGCCTCTGATCACAGTTGGGAAAGCTGCTGTGCTTTAAGGCTCTTTCCAACAATCCAGAACAGCCTTACTGTCTCAAAGTCCTGAATTCAATCACATGTATAAAGTCCCTTTGCCATGTAAAGTAGCACACCCTCAAGTTTGGGGCATTAGGATATGGACATTTTGTGGGGAGAGGGTATTATTCTTCCTACACAGTAGAAACACTTAATGCAGAATTTCATATAGAGATGTATTTTTCAAATGTGCCTATAACTTATCAGGATCAGCTCTTTTAGAAACTTTTACTTGGATATTTATAGGGAAGAGAGGCGTTTATTTGAAAAATAAACCCCACAAATTTTGTGTGGCTCTTAATCTCCTATGAAAGTTAATACTAATGTTAGTTCTCTTTTGTTTGCTTTGATAGTGATAACCTGCTAAGAAGAGCAGCCTGTCAAGAAGCTCAGGTAATGCTGTTTTTCTGTGATAAAATTAAAACTCCCCTTATCTCCATGGTGCAGGAAACCCATGCTACTCCAGGGATGTGCACAGGGTTTTGCGTCAGTGCAGTCTGGCTATTTTTTCCCACTATCAGGGGATGAATCGGGCTGAGAGCCAACTTGGAGTAGAAGGGAGGAAGTGAACCATCTGGTGAAGAACAGTTCTAACGCCCACCCCGTTAGGCTTGTTTTTCTGGATCACTCCCAAGAACACATAACTGGACTGGCTGAAGCTCTGGAAATTTGTTCACGTCTGCAGTTGTCCTTGAAAATCTGGCTAAACTCTGAATCATCTCTGATCCAAATAACCCCCAAGAGTATCAGTTTAGAACAGGTGTTGCCTCTGAAAGTCAAATCTTAAAATTGTTGATTCATATTTTAAAGCCCATTTCTTTAACATAGCTGATTCATACTATGAGCACTCTTATCAGAATTCCATGGGATTTTCCTTAAACTTTATTTATCTGGTTGTGGTTAAGTATAGTAGAATTGTAAATCCTTTTAAATTTAAGAGCACATTTTGTCCCCCCCCACCCCCCATCCCGTTAGTGTATTATACTTCGCAGATGAGTTTCTGTGACTAGTTCCTTCTTCGTTATATGTCATTTAAACTTATGAAGCCAGAAATGCCCCCCCCCCCAACAAAAAATAGCTCATCAAAATAAAAAATGGCAAAAGAATGGAGCATTTAGTGGAAGTAGGTGGCAAACCTCATGTTTGTTTCTGAAATGTTTTCATGGATGACAATGACAATCACAACAGATACTATTAATAAATTCCTGACTTCACTGATTGTTATCTGTTCTAAATCTGTTTGAAGAATTTGATTTTAAAATATCTCATGATTACAAGTTTTTCATTCAAATAAACTTTAAATTTTTTACATAATTTTTAGTTGACACAGTATTTGTATATATTTATGGGTCACAGTATGATACTTTGATACATGTATGCAATGTATAATCAAGGTAATTATCAAGTAAATTTTAATATCAAATTCAAGGTGAGTCCTACCTCAGACATCCTCCCTTATTTAAGGTAAATGCCTCCACCTCTGTTCTGAATTCCAGCTCCTCAATATTTCAGGGACAGTGTTCCTTTAGTTATTTCCTCCCTCTCACATACTGACCTCTCTTTATCATTCTAATTGTGCCCTTCTCCAGCACATGGTTAGCTCCTGCCACCTGACAGAATGGAAGTAGATTCATCCTTATAGTCTTCTATAATTACTTCTTCCATGTCCTTTTTTCAGATTAAATTCTTGAAAGAATGATTTTAAAAAAAATCTCACATAAACTCAACTCAATGTTATCTCACATAAACTCCTTAATACACTGTGAATCTGAGACTTAAGTTGCAAGTGAATAAGCATTCCAGAGAGGAAACCAGGACAAGAAGGACTAATCTAGGACTGTAGATTTGGAAGTGGGCAGGCCAGAGAACTGGGTTAATAAAATTATTTTTGATCACACTTTAGATGAGTATGGGTAGAAAAAGAAGGTATTACAGTATTTAGAGATTTGGCAGTAAAATATTAAGGTCTAAGTAAGAGTGAAAGCAATAGAAATGATAATATAGCAGAAACTTTTTTTTTTTTTTTTTAATAAAGAAAGTGTTTAAGAAAAAAGAAGGAATCTTGTTTGTTTGTTTTTTTGTTTTTAGTAAGAAATACTGGTGAGGACTTCTAGTGGACTGTCAGTAGGGTAAATTTAGAGTGAGTTACTTAATAAAAGATCTTTGTATAACTTTCTTCTCTAGTCTTTACTTTGTACTTCTACACTAGACTTCTGACCCCTTAACCCAGATTTGTTCCCCACCACCCAAGAACTAATTTGTTTTCTTTTTGTGCTTTCCAATTCTCATTTTGTCAACTGTCTTCTCCAGTCCAGACATTGTAGCAGCAGCTCTCACTTAGTTCCCATTTCAAAATCCTCACCTCTAGTTTTTTACCTCTTAATTCTACTATATCCTTATTGTTCATAAAGCAGAACTTGGGGTTTTAGAGCTAGATAAATGTGAATTCTAGACTTGTAATTCAGTAACTCTGTGACTTTGAGTAACTTAATCTGTTGTAATCTTGGCTTTCTAGTCTATAAAACTGAAATTGCATTAAATCTCCTTGGTTTCTCAAAACTAAGAATAATATATGTGAGGGTGGCAAATGCTTGGTGCTTAGTAAATTACGAGTTACATTTCTTGTCCCATGCCAGTTGCTGCTATTTAAGTTATTATACAGGGTTGCAAAGAAGAGGAGGCACATAGACTATTAGGTTTAATTTCAATATGTATGAAGCTATGAAGATTAACTGGCAACCCAAAGATTTCTCATGAATAAGTTTTAGTACCAAACTGAAAAAGAAAAAAGATGGTGTTCTGACAACTAAAGACACATGGGTTGAACTTCTGTCTTGATAGCCTGTGGCCTTACTTGTTATGTTTATAATAAATTTAGGCATATTTTATGGAGAAGAGCTACCTCTAGTAGGTGAAGCAGGATTTTTTTGTCATTAATGTTGCAGGGTTTTTTGTTTGTTTGTTTTCTTTTTTGTTGTTGTTCTTTATGGGTTTTGTCAATATGAGATTGTGAATAAATATTTGTTTTCTCCAGAGTATATCACATGCCTGTTAGAAGTAAATTCTTTTGGAATGAAAAAATATATGTGATCACTAGCTGAATAAAAGGACATTTACTGAAAATTTTTCTTTTTTCCTTTTCAGGAGTTTGGCAATCAATTAATTCCTCCCAATGCACAAGTGAAGAAGGCAACTGTCTTTCTCAACCCTGCAGCTTGCAAAGGGTAGTTCAGTTTGTGATTTATTATATGTTCAATGTTTCTAAAGGCGGGAAAAGAAATCACGGAATTTCAGCCAGCTAGTTATTCTGTGTAGAACTGGAAGAGCTAGGTTTAGTACCCTAGTAGCAAAAAGATACATTTGCAGTATAGCATTAACAGTTAATGTGAAATAACTATAAAGCTAATTGATGCTTAGCAAACTTGTATAATTGAAGTTTAGTAATCATTCCAGAATTAACACTCACAAGGAAGTCTAATCTGCTTGGAAGTGGTCCCCTTGGGGACAATGCTCTGCTGTGTGGCATAAATCATTAGACCATCTCTGTAGACAAGATGTTCAGAGATGGCCAAGAGCACCGTGTGTTTGCTAAGGCAGAACATTCTTTCCAAAAGGAATGGACCTTGAGCTAGGTCTTGGTGCATACTTGCTATTCCCAGCTAAGATAATGGCCCATGGGGTAGGGACCTAGAGACAGATGTGACCCATTATGTGCTTTTAATGTCACAGAGCAGTCTGTAACTGTCATTTAGGGACTTGTAGGAATTAAGGTATGAAGAGTAATAGTTGGGGCTTTGGTAGCTAATGATGTGTCCATAATGGTTCATTGATTGTGCCACTCTGAAATGGAGAAGGGGTGCGTGCGGTGGGGAGGAAGTGTATAGGAACCTAGTCTGTTGGTGACAAAAATACCATGGGCAGAAAAAACAAAACAGAACCTTGTTTTATGATGTTAACTGGATGCTGCTCTCATTCATTTGAAAGGGTGAATATAAAAATCTTGAGAGCTTTGGGGGAAATAATTAAAAATTTATTTTTAAAAATAGAATGAGAGGATTGAGGGGGAAATGAACTATTCTTTTTGGCTTTTCTGAGGATTGGGCAATTAATAAACATGTTTTAAACTGGATCTCGTAAGACCTAAGTGAAATGACATTAAGAATAATATAAAAAGTATAGCTGGGGTTGTACCCTAAGGGGAAGGCTACTGTTGTCTAGAGCAACATTTGGCATGGGCTCTGCAATTAGTTCCTCTGGGTATTTCTGGGGAGTAGTGAGCCTGACTTCACAGAGATGAGGACGAGTCATGCCTTCCTTCTTAATCAGCAGTGTAGGGTATTCACCTACACATTGTCTAATGGGCTTAACATTATATTTGCCAGGCTTTATTGGAGCCACCTGCTTGCCCCCATAAACCCACCAATCATATGCCTTGATCATTGTTGTTTAATGCCAGTTATTAAATAACACCAAGAAGTAAATAAGTCCTAATGCACTATAACCACCATACCCAAGGTAATTAGTCAGTGGTGGCTGCAGGGGAGAAATTATGGGTTTCAGAGTTGAGGGACCTGTCTATATACTGTTTTGCTGCTCACTAGCTCTGGGATACTTTGAAGTTACTCTTCTTAAAGCCTCAGATGTTTACTCATCAAAATAGTGATGTCACATAGTGATATCAAAATAGTGATAGTACATTCCGTATTGATTAGGTGTCTTGAGTATTAAATGAGACAATGCCTGTGAAGTGTTAAATGCTATTTCTGTTTCATAGTAAGCTCCAGTAGAACAGCATAGAGGCTGTTGTTGGGTGCAAAATACTTGCCACTCTGCTCTCCCACCCTTCCCAAGAGCTCTGCACTTTTTCTGCCAACTTCGGTGTAACTCTTCTGTGCTCTATTCCTTTAGAGACCTTTTAGGTTACTACTTGCTAATTTCTGATGAAGAAGTTTATGGCAGTTTGCTTGAACTATAATCAGTTTCTTCGAGTTTGTATTTCTAAGAGGTACATTTTTTGATGCTAAGGATTAAAGGTAGGCCCTTGAGCATGCTAAGGAATCACTCTATAGCTTAACATTTTTTATATTAATAATTTTTTTTCAGAGAAGCTTTATTTTTATTTTTTTTGTGGTGCTGAGTATTGGACCCAGGACCTCCTAGATGGCAGTTTTAGGTTCAGCTTACATTTTAACATGTAAATGTATTTGCATTTTTAAAGATGGTTCTCATTTGAAAGTATACCTCTATCTAAAGGCAGGGCTAAGATTCTGTCACTCAAGTGGAGTCTTTCCTTCCTGAAGGCATTGCCTGTTCTGACAAGGTGAATCCCTCCATGCTTCTAGGATACAGTTACTCTGAAACTCAGGAATATTTTTTTTATAAGCTTTCACTATTTAATTGCACCATCTTTATCATTGTGGCTCTGCTGTGACACATAATTTATAATTTATCATGTAGCTATTTCATTATGTAGTACTGGTTTAAAACTTCAGAAGAGCTTTAAGAAATAAGATAACTGTGTATTTAGAGTTAATAAATAATACATTAAAGAGTAATTATTTTGTGCATGTGCCTGAGCCTGGAGATTGCTGTAAGTACATAAAGTTTTTATTTAGCCCTGGTGCTATCTTGCCCTTAATTATATAATAAATAATGTATTTCTTACTGGTAACACTTCTTTTTCAATCTTTTATATAGAACATTATAAGGAGATATCTTCACCTTTATATTAGGGCTTTACTGAACCCAGGACATCACAAAAATATGTGAATAAACATTAAAGGTTCAAGTCTTTTTTCTTTAACTCAGAGGAGGTTATGGATTTATTGAGATTGATATGGCAGATTGAGACTTCTCCAGAGTTTTGCTTTTAGGAAATAAATTTCTACTTTCAACTGCTCCATTCTTATTACTCCAGCAATGATAGCAATCCTGGAAAGAGAACTGTTTGCAGTTATCATTGACTCAACCCTTTATTGCTGGGTTAAGCCCCCAGAAATGCTGAACTGGAAAGGAGAAATGGCCTCTTAGCCTTTTGTGTTCATTCTGATAACCTTGCAGAGCAGTAGACAAGGTAGATTATATTTTATTTATTGTATGCTCAGGTAGGCCTTGATGGTTCTTGTGAAAATTTGTTCAGGTTTCTCAGTTCTATTTTAATTCATAAGAAATGTTGTGTGTTCTGTATGCCATTTGGTGATTATATCTTTTTAATTTACAGGATATTGAATTTGGTCTCTGCATAACTATACATGATTAACATTAGTGGCCTTTGAGTTTCTTTCTAGTATAAAAGTCAAAGAATGCATTGTTGGTAAATAATAATAATAATAATAATAATAATAATAATAATAATAATCTTTTTTAGAAAGAAGTTGCATAAATATAGATATAAAAATTTGATGTTTGACATTGAGTTTTTAAAAGCTTTATTTGTTTTGTTAGGCGATAATTGGAAATATTTGGGTAAAAGACTGGTCGGATAATTGGTATGGTTTAACAAAGATTTGTCTTTGAGATTGCCATTGTGGGGGTTTGGGGGGGGGGGCGGCTGTTGCAATTTCTACATCCCTTGATTCCTAGACAGTTTTGAGTCCTGACTAAAAATGGGACAAGAGTTCACTATCAGAATGACATGCGTCATAGGTTTAAAGTATACAGAGTACTTCAATTGTTACACAAAGTACATAAAGTATTAAAGAAATGTAACAATGACTTTCATTTTTTTTTAAAGAGAGAGAGAGAGAATTTTTTAAAAATATTTATTTATTTATTTTTAGTTTTTGGCAGACACAACATCTTTGTTTGTATGTGGTGCTGAGGATTGAACCCGGGCCGCACGCATGCCAGGCGAGCGTGCTACCACTTGAGCCACATCTCCAGCCCCAATGACTTTCATTTTGAGACATCACCATTATGTCATATTCTTTTCCTCAGAATTTACATGCCTATATTTGGGGCAGGTTTATTCACTCATTTTAAGTTAATTCATCCTGTACTTAGTGAGCAGCTTTGAAACATGTCATGCATAGTCCTAGAAGCTAGATTCAAGGATTAAGGAGGTTTGGCATCTGTTTTTGCAGAACTTTCAGGGTAGTCCTGAGGACAATCATGGAAATCTCTAGTCCTCATCACTGTTAAAGTATCTAATGGGGTGTGAAAGTGAAGAGGAAGTGCAGAGGAGGGCATGACTGTGCCTGGGGCTTGGGGTCAGCTTCTGACCAGTTCTCCCATAATTACATTAATTTTGAATATTTCCCTTTCTCGTCAGAATGGAAAAGATCTCTGATTTTTCTCCAGGGATTTCACTACAAGTTTAAAACTCAAGATATGGAGATACTCCTAATATTAGAAATTGTCAAAAATGATGTATTTCTTTCCAAATGCTTGTGTTTATTAAGTTAGAATTAAGCAATATTCTGTTAAGTCTGTTCCCTTGGGATGAATGATATTGCAGTGGATACCCTCCCTTTCTTCCACTAGAATAAAAGAATATACCAGGGAGTACAACTAAGGTCCATGAGGATAAATAGTCTTTGGCTCTCTGTGATGTTGTGTCCCCAGCTCCTCCACCTGTGTCCATCACTCAGTAGGCGTTCAGTGAATGCATGTTGAGTGAATTGGCACTGTTGTCCTGAGTAGAGCCATATCTACTGTCTCATCTTCCTCAAGAGGAACACACATGTGCACTATGGGCATCCAAAATGGATAAGAGCTAACTGCATTAGACAAGGGACACACTGTTTTGCTCTCTGTAGAAATTCCTACTCATCAATAAACTTCCCATACCTGAACAAATAAAGAAACATGTTCCTTTGTCTTTCTTATTCTACTCCAGAGAAGATGGTTGGGTTTTTTGGAATCCTTCCTTTTGAGTATTATGTTAAAATATTGTATTTTCCCCCCCTTTGTCTACAGCAAAGCCAGGACTCTGTTTGAAAAAAATGCTGCCCCGATTTTACATTTATCTGGCATGGATGTGACTGTCGTTAAGGTGAGAATGCTCGGGAGTGTTGATTTTTGTCGAAGCCACCACCCCTTTAATGTATCCTCTGCTGTTGTCTTCTTAGCAGAAATCACTTGTCACTTAAGACAAGAGCAAAGAAATCAGTGTTGTATTTTGTTCTGATAATTAATAAAAGCAGTTTTGTTTTTTGTGACATTGTCAGCTTTTCATTTTCACAACAGGATTAAGTGGAGGCATGGAGACCTTGGTTCCTTTCATCTGAGACAGGAGATGGAATTATCTCTTGAAGGATGCAAGTTGTAGTAGCTGACAGAATTCTTTCCTCAAAATAGGAAACCCTCCAGTTTTAGTAATTTAATTTCTTGGTGGTGCTACAAATATATAAATGTTTTTCTTTCTGGTAAGGAATTATCTATAGTGAGGAATTAATGGTAAATCTGTAGCATTTTCAGATTTAGGTGAGAAGAAAATGGAAAAAAAAGAAGAAATTGTGCTGTTTCAGAAGATGCCGCAAGTCCCTACTTGTTGAATTTTACATATATGGGTGCCTACATTCCATAAGGTGTTTCCAAGTTGGTTGGTTAACCTGTTGCTAGTATTGCACACTTTGACTAAATCACAGAGGTTAAAAGGTGATTTAGTCTGATTATATACAGGTTAACTCTTTTCCAACTTTTCTGAGACATCTTCTAGTTGTTTGTTTTTGGGATGCGAGAACGGGGAGTACCTGCAATGTGTTAGATTCTAGGTAAGAGACGTAGAGTAGTTACACGTAAGATTGATATTATCTGTTCTTTGAATGATTGAACTCCTGAGTAGAACCATCTGAGCTTCCAGTTGGAGATCTTTGAAGGGAGATTTTCTTTGTATTAAATTTCTTTAATGGTTCTAGAAGTACTCAAGGAATTTGTTCATTTCATCTAAGTTTTCAAATCAGATGGGATCAAGTTTTACATAATATCTTCTTTTTAAGTTTAAATTTATATAGCATCTGAAATGCCTGTTTCATTCTTCTTATTGTTTAGTTTTTCCCTTTTTATTTTTTTCCCTTCAGGAGTCTTATGAGAGGTTTTCCACTATAATTAGTCCTGCCATCTTTTGGCTTATTCTTATTTTCGTGGGAGATTATATTTTATTCATTTCTGGTCTGTTATTATTTCCTTCATTCTATTTTTTTCTTGTCATTTTGGCATTATAACTTGATGCTTATTTATTCATTCTCATCTTTATTTCGTATTTTATATATTTAAAGCTATAAATTCTATTCTACTGCTTCAGTATTCTATAACTTACTTAAATTTTTTTTTCTTAAATCCTTGACATTGAAGACTTTATTCCTGAAGATCATCATGTCTGAAAATAAATAAGAGGATAATTTTACAGATGGAGAAATTCTAAAACAGAGAAAGCAAATAATTTCTGTAGGTGAGCCATTGTGCCGTAGGTAAAAATACACAAAGAATTTTTGACTTTAATGATCCATTATTTTATGTTGAAATGTTTTTTTTAGTTAAGGAAATTTTCTTTATTCATTTATCCATTGATGGACACTTAGTTTGCTTCCTATCATGGCTATTGTGAATAATGTTATAGTGAACTTTTAACTTTGACATATAGTACTTTCATTATCATTCATTTCTAAATATTTTCTAATTTCACCATGATTTTTGCTTAATTTGAGCTATTCAAACATGTTTTAATTTCCAGATCTGAAGTTTTTCTCGTTATCATTTTGTTAGATTTTTGATTTAATTTCATTGGTAAAAAAGGTAATCAATATAATTTCATATTTTATTGGAATTTGTATTATAGACCAGAATGTGGTCTTCTTTCATAAATGTTCTGTATATGCCTAAAAATGATTCATATCAATTATTAGGTACCAGGTCCTGTTTATGTTCTTTATGTAAGATCAATGTTAATTATGTGATTCAAATCTCTATATTTCCTGGATTTTTTCTGGTTTAACTTGTCTGTTTCTCTACATAGTTTTGTCCATTTTTGCTATACTTTTGACTGTTGCTGTACTTTTACCTTTAGGGATGTCATATAGTTGGAATCATACAATGTGGTAGCCTCTTCAGGTTAGAGTCTTTCATGTAGCACTATGCTAACTGTTGACTTCTCTCATGTAGCATTTTACCTTCCTCCATTGTCTATTTGTAACTTTATAAGGCTCATTTCTTTTATTTATAAAAGCTATTTGTTGTAGCTAAATATTATTCTGTCATCTGGATATACTGCCATTTATCCATTTACTCACTGAAGTATACTTAGATTGCTTCCTATTTTGGCAGTTATGAATAAAATTGCTACAAATGTGTACTTTTTTGTGTGGACATAAGTTTTTAAGTCATTTGAGTAAATACCTAGGAATGCTATGGCTGGATAATATGTAAGTCTGTTTAGTTTTATAACAAACTGTCAAACGGTCTTCCGAAGCACCTGTAACATTTTGCATTCTGTTGTTCTACATTGTACTCAGCATTTGCTGTTTTCTATTTTGTATTTTAGACATTTTAATAGAGATATAGTGGTATCTTCTTGTTTTAATTTGTAGTTCCCTGCCTGATGACGGTTAATGTTGAGCATATTCCCATATGCTTACTGTCCATCTGCAGATCTTGATGAGGCCTCTATTCAGATCTTTGCTCCTTTAATTGGGTTGTTGAGTTTTGAGAGTTCTTTGTATTTTTTAAAAATAAGTCCTTGAATAAGAAATGTATTTTGTGAATATTTTCTCTCTGTTGTGTCTTGTTTTTCCATTTTCTTAATAGTGTCTTTTTGTTGTTTTTTGTTTTGTTTAGTGCTATTGGGAATTGAACTCAGGGGTACCCTGCTGCTGAGTCACATTCCCAGTCCTTTTTATTTTTTATTTGAGACAGGGTTTCTCTGTGTTGCTCAGGCTATCCTCTAATTGGCGATCTTCCTGCCTCAGCCTCTGGAGTTGCTGGGATTACAAGCAATGCACCACCATACCTGGCTTGATAGTGTCTTTTTCAGAGCTGATGTTTTTCATTTTAATGAAATCCAGTTTACTAACTAGTTTTTTGTTTTGCAGTGCTGGGGATGGAAACCAGGGCCTCCTGTATGCTAGGCAAGTGCTGTACCACTGAGCTATAACCCCAGCTTTGTTAATTTCTTCTTTTATGGATCTTGCTTTTGGTAATGTAGCTAAAATTTCATTATCAAGCCCAAGATCTCCTAGACTTTTTCCTACATGATCTTCTGGAAGTTTTATTGTTTTTGCATTTTACCCTTAGTTCAGTGATCCACTTGGAGTTAGTTTTTGTGAGAGACGTAAGGTCAGTAACTAGGTTTTTTTTTGTTTATTTGTTTTGTTTTTTGTGTCATTAGGCTACTTTTTTGTCATTAGGCTACTTTTTTGTTCTTCCTCTTTTAGGACATTTCATATTTTCTTCCCAAGATCAGCACCTCAAATGCATTATTCTTATTAATGTAATCTTCTTAATTATGGTCTGCTAAATCTGTCAAGATCTTTTTGAATTCTTTCATTGATGAACCTATTCATGTATATTAATTATTCTTGAAAGTATTCAAATATACCTATTCATATATATTGTATTTGGAAGTATTTATTGAGTGCCTACCATAAGCTAAGACCAGTTCTCGGTATTGAGTATATATTCTAAACAAAAGAAACCATCTGTCCTGAAAGAGCTTTCTTTCAAAGTTTGAAAGGAAGAAACACAGACAAAAAATAAATGTACAAAAAAACAACTGCTTTGCCAGATAGTGCTGAGTGCTAAGAAGAAAGATGAAGAGGAAACTTTAATGAGGGGGCTCGTTAAAATGAGATGGCCAGGGAAGACTGGTCTGATAAAATGACCTTCGAAGGAGTCACATGATTGCTTGAGAAAAGAGAACATGGGCCAAAGATATCACATATAGAAAGGCTCTGAGGCATGTTGGGGGAATAGTAAGTGAGATGAGCAAAGGGAGAGAGGTTGGAGAAGTAAGGGAAAGCAAGATTGTCAGCTTTTTACCATTTACATATCCAGTCAATTACTTTTTGTCCTAATTGTTGACAAAGGGTTTAGGAGGAGGTTAAAGGAAAAGCCCTGATGAAATGTCCTTAGCAATCTTCTGATAATTGACATTCTGCTGAGCCTTTTGCTTTGGGGGCACAAACATTCCATTGGTTGCTAATCTGTTGCATTGTATTCTAGCATCTTGTTTCCACATTTCTCTACCTTGTCCACAGCGGGATCATGGAATAACTTGTCAGGGGCCTTGCTGAAGACCAGGTACAATGTGGTTGTATAATATCCCAACCTCTTGAGCTAAAAATTTGTCAAAGAAGGAAATGAGGATCTTAGTGAACCCATGCTGATTCCTAACACACACCCATTTCTGGGTGTTCACAAGCCCTTTAAATCAAGATTGACTGGGCATATTCCTTTTTAAGCAACCAAATATTTGTAAATGTAACTCTGAAGCAAATCATTTCCTTTTTAGAATAAAAGTAGAAAAATTAAACGATGTCATTTTAGGGACCTCCTTTTTCCTCTGAATTAATGTCATATTAGGACTTAGTAACCTGTGACTCCTTGCTGGGTATTTTCTCACACTGTCCAACAGTTCAGTTCAATTCTGACACCAGCTTCCACCATGAGCATAGACTCCATAGGTGAAAGGCTCAGTCCTACCAAGACCACCCTCAGTGCAGGACCAGTTGAAATATCAGAAGTAGGAGGTCACTGTGCTTCTGACCATCGAGCTGTGAATGGAGGTTCCACAACCCTTCCTCAGGTTTGATAATTTGCTAGAATAACTGAAACTTGGGAAAACACTTTTATTTTGTTTACTGATTATTATAAAGGATACAACTCAGGAATAGCCAAATGGAAAGATGCATATGGCAAGGTATGGAGGCAATGGGGTTGGCACAGAGTTTCCATGCCCTCTGGATGTGGCGCCCTCACAGCAACTGGATGTGTTCACTAACTAGAAGCTCCCAGACTCTTGAAAACATGAGGGTTTTTATGGTGTCCCATTAGTAAGCATGACTGATTAAATAACTGACCACTTGTATGTGAACTCAGTCTAAAGTCTCCTGCCTTGCTTGGTGGCCAGGGGATAAGGCTACAAGTTCCAGCTCCCTAAGTCCTTTGCTGGTCTTTCTGATGCCAACCCCCATCTTGAAGCTATCCAGGGCTTTTGGAGAGTCACCACTAAAGCACACACTCAAGTGTGGTTGAGAGGGCTTGCTATGAACAACAAAAGACCTCTGTCACTTGGTAAATTTCAGGAGCTCTGCCAGGAACCGAGGATGAAGAACACATTTTTATTCTACCATAGGTGCGTTAGCCCATCTGAAATCTAGATATTTGTGTATTCATGTACCTAGAGTACTTTCAATTGGAAGAAGTATTTTCTTCTTCAGTGTCACTTGCATTATGTGTTTTAAAGTTTATTGTGGGGTTTAGAGACACACATATTATTGGTGACTGAAATGTTTCATTTAAGTCCATGCATGTATCTGAGATGAAATGTTGTCAGCAGATGGTAAGGCTTAAGTATTCTTTTATGACAACTTTGAAACATACCTGTATTTCTTCACTTGATCTTAGCCAAAAGGCCGAGAAGCGATAATACCTGTATTTCTTTATGCACAATCACAACCAAACAATCACCTTGTATTATTTAGTACAGTACCAATTATGAACATTTGCCTGTCTAGTTGTCTTACATTATGCTTTATAAAAGTAGAACAAGGAAGCTATTATTACCCCTCCTCAATACATAATTTCATTGATAAGGAAATTAAGACCTGGAGAGTTGATGGCCACTCAGCTAGAAAGTAGCAGAGTTGGGATTTAATAAGTCTCTTGGGCTCTGAAATTTGTGCTCTTTTCATTACCTCTGCGTCTCCCTATTTGCATATACACTTGACTTCCCTGCCTTCAGATGAAAAGTAGTGGGTAAATGATGTAATGGAATCTGCACTGGACTGTAAATGAGTCCTTTAACTAGCTAACTGTATGACTAGGGCAAATCATTGGGTTTGAATTTTGTTTTTGAAGTAAAGAGCTGACTAGATAATTTCTGAAGTTCCTTCTTACTCTAAAAGTATAAAACTATAAAACAATATGTAATTGCTTTGATAAGCTGTTTGTTTTTTCATGTCTATCAATTATGTAAGACTTAAGAAAAGAGTCAGTGTAAACTTTAAAGAAAGTACCCCACATTTTATTATTTTTCTTTTTATTTGTTGTAGTTGGACACAATATCTTTATTTTATTTATTTATTTTTATGTGGTACTGAGGATCGAACCCAGTGCCTTACATGTGCTACAACTGAGCCACAATCCAGCCCCAGTATCTCACATTTTTAACCTTGACCTAGGATGATAACTTTACCAAAGTCTTCTTTTGTATTTCAGACAGATTATGAGGGACAAGCCAAGAAACTCCTGGAATTGATGGAGAGCACAGATGTGATCATTGTTGCTGGAGGAGATGGGACACTGCAAGAGGTATGACTCTTTCTCTTTGAGGCCATTTGAAGATGAGAAAAATGGAAATTAGATTTGAGAATAATGGAGTATAGTGTTATAGTTAAACTTTATTCTTTGGGATTGTTGCTGTCAAACTAGTATATTTCTAAATTTTTCTCACACTTTTATTTCTTTTTTGGTAAGTCCTCTATCCATCACATAGAAAGGCTTATATATCATCAAACTGAAGTTTGATAAAACTGAATAAAAAATGAGGAAAAATGGTGGTGGGTTTGAAAACCCTTAGAAAGTAGCCCTGTTTGTAATAGAATCATAGTTTCTATTATGAGAAATATTCCTTACCAAATAAACTTAAAGATTCCTTTTAAGAAAATGGGTAATTGCCCATTCTCACATCATCACTGTCATATTTAATGTTATTTCTTAATTCTGCATTTTTAGGAAGAGAGGCTACATGTTCAGATGTATGCATGTGTTTTTTTATTTTTTGTTTTCTACATTGCTGGGCATGGAACTCAGGGCCTAGCATGTGTTAGGCAAACACTCCCACTGAACTACACGTGCAACCCTGCCTTTGCTTTACTGTTACATAGCTTCAATAAGATACCACTACATACCTGTTAGAATGACTGAAATCTAAAACACTCACAATATCCAATGCTGCTAAAGGTATGGAATAAGAGGAACTTTCATTCATTGATGGTGGGAATGTGAAATGGTTTAGCCACTTTGTACCTATTGGGACAACCAAAATTCACAATAAACAAAATAGAAAATGGTACAGCCACTTTGGAACAGTTGGATAGTTTCTCACAAAACTGAATATATTTTCCCCATATGGTCAGGTTTCTTAGTATTTTCCAAAGGCATTGAAAACTCAATGTCCACACAAAAACCTGCACATAAATGTTTATAGCAGCTTTATTCACAGTAGCCAAACTTGGAAGGTATAAGGTATCCTTTACTAGGTGAATGGATAAATAAAGAATGGTATAGACAGATAATGAAATATTATTAAGCACTAAGAGAAATGAACTATCAGGCCATGGAAAGACTTGCAGGAAGCTTAAATGCTTATTACTAAGTGAAAGAAGCCAACATGAAAAGGCTGCACACTCTCTGATTCTAACTACTTGACATCTGGGAGAGACAAAACTATGGAGACTGTAAGATCAGCCTTGAGTTGACAAAATGTTTTTAAGAAGTTGGTAGAAGAGAGGGATGCCTAGGCAGAGCAGAGAGGATTTTTAGGACAACAGTAGTACTCTTATATAATGATGGATACATGTCTTTATATATTTTTTGAATCCCAGAGAATGTGCAACACACAGTGGACCCTAATGTCAACTGTGGAGTTTGGGCCATAATGATGATTGATATAGGTTCACCAATTTTAAGAAGTGTACCACACTGTTGGGGGATGTTGGTAATGGGGTATACATTTGTGGAGTTTGGGGTCTATGGGAAATCAATGTCCTTTCCTATCAATTTTTCTTTGAACCTAATACTGTTTTTTAAAAAGAAAGTTTATTAATTTAAAAAAGTGACACATCCTTGAAACTTACTTTGGTCCAGTAAGGATGGTATGTCGTCCTGCAAGTGCTCTTCTTTCCCTGTAGCACACCAGTGCTGCTGGTGCACACTGGAAACCCCTCAGAACTCTGTCCAGGGGATGTCACCCATTGTTCTGGTGTTCCTTCTACACCCAGGCCTCATTTCTTATCACCTGTCATCTCTGTTGGGTGGTGTCATCAGTGTACAGTGATGAGAAGCTAGCAGCAGACAGGCTGTCTGTCCTATGTTTGACTTGGCACTTATGTAAGCCTTAGTGAGCTTTTTAAAAGGCTGTGCTAATGATCTTGTAATTGTTTTTATGGCTTTTTAATGAAGTGTGAAGAATACTGATAGCATGCCTACAAAGAGTGAAGTAGACCACTTGACAGCCCCATTTAATCCTGAAACTCTGTGGGGTGGGAGAAGATCAAGGGAGGAGATTTGTGTTAGCCTTGACTTGACAAAATGTTTTTAAGGAAAGACAACAAATTGTATATTTGGTATAATCATGGTCATATTAAAATAGGTATTGATTAAAAAATTTTTTTGAGAAGTATTCCAAAATTTTAAAAAGTGATTAATATTGGTTATTCATTATGGTAGAATAATGAGAAATTACTTTTTCTTCTGGTATTTTTCATAACTTTATAAGAATAGTATCTCCCTTGTCTTCATATTCCTCAGTAAGAAATATTTATTGTGTGCAGGTTTCTCTTGAGTGTAGCAAGTTGTTTTTTCCTTTATATATACTTTGTAGTAGCAAACTAGTCTCTTATATAATTGATGTGTGCATCACAGTTATATAAAAAAGCATGTAGACATTATAAGATTATGTTTTGTAGAACTTAAAACATGATTTTACTAATGTGGAGTTTTTGTAATTATTTTATCTTAGTCTTTATTGATCGTAGGTTAATAGTAATAATATCTAATTTAGCTCATAATATTTTGGAATACTGTATGTTTTAAGATCCATTTTATCATTTAACATAATTTCTAGGAAGAAAACAAGTAAATTTGTGGTCCGTGAAAATTGAGCCCAATTTTGTTAGGATAAAGGAAAAACATATTCATGATATGATATTTTTATATATATATTTGTAGGTTGTTACTGGAGTTCTGCGAAGAACAGATGAGGTGAGCTTTTAAGAAAGAGTAATTGGCTGGATTTGGTGGTGCATGCCTGTAATCCCAGCAACTCAGGAGGCTGAGGCAGGAGGATCAGAAGTTTGAGCCCAGCCTTGGCAACTTAGTGGGACCCTGTCTTAAAATAAAAAATAAAAAGTATTGGGGATATAACTCGGTGGTAAAGCTCCTCTGGATTCAGTCCTCAATACAAAACAAAAAGAGAGAGTAATTATATTTTAGCTTTTACTTTTCTGTTTGTTTTTTTCCCTCTTTTTTCTTTTACTTTTTTTTTCTCCGTTTTATATTTTAAAGCAAGCACAAGTTGTGATTAGAATGGATTTTAGTAAGGAGAGTACCACTGCCTTTTCATAGGGTGCTCATCAACCCATGGTGGACTTTCTAATTGGTAATCCAGGGTATCCAATAGCTTTTAACAATCATTGTTTAGAATATAAAATTTTGCTATGGTATCTTTTCCTTAAGGAATTCCTTCATAAATAAATCATGGTATGGTCACCTAGTGAAAACCAGCCAGCAGTTAAAAGAAAGAATTAGATCTATAGTATCTATATGTTTAAATCTCAAATATTGAATTTTAAAAGAGAGGTTGCTGAAGAATGTGATGCATTTCTACAAAGTTTTAAAATTCATAAAGCAATACTGCATATCATTAATGGGTGTCTAGATATGTAGCAAGAGTGATAACATGGGTAGAAAGGAATCCCACTGGCCTGTCTTCTGTTTGAAGGATAATGTTTTTCTCTGGGAAGGGAGAGACAAGAATAGGAGGAGAAGGAATTTCAAGTTATCAGTGCCATTTTATTACTTAAAACAGCTGAAGCAAAATGGCAATTGTTAACATTATTAAAATCTGGGTTGTAGACTCATGGTTGTTTTTAATATCCATGTACTTTTCTATAATAATTTAAAATAATTCATAATTAAAAACAACCTTCTCAGTAAGAGAAAAACTGTGGTAAGAGTAAACTGTGCTCAAAATAGTTTTCATGAACCTTATAGTGTCTACTGTGTTTGTGGCATTTAATTAAATTGACCACTATTCTATTACCTTCTGCTACTTAAACTTGCTTATTCTCTTTGTTTTATTTGTACTTGAGGTAATTTATAGTGTCCTTTCACCTGCTCACTGTTCAATGATAGGTATTTTTCTTGAATTTTATCTGCAGCTTTTTCAAGTGGTGTGATAACAATGCAGTCTCTGTCACACTAGTACATTGATCCAATATCTACAAGACCCTCATTATCTTAATTACGTTTCTTCCAAACAGTGGTCATTAATGAGAACCCAAATGTTTTTTCTAAATTCTAAATTATTCTAGAAACTATTCTCTTAGTGGTATTCGATTACTGCTCTAGGGTTATGGGAGGGACAGTGGGGAGGCAGATGGAGGGCTTAATAACTTTGTCCTGGTAGACATACTTGTGTCTCTTTGTTAAGACTCATTTTCTAACTTTAACAATATAACTTTTCTCTTCTTTTTTTTCCTCCCAGGCTACCTTCAGTAAGATTCCCATTGGATTTATCCCACTGGGACAGACCAGTAGTTTGAGTCATACCCTCTTTGCCGAAAGTGGAAGCAAAGTCCAGTAGGTTGTCAATGTGGAATGTTAGCATTTGTGAGTGAGCGAGCTTGGGGATAAAAAAATCACGTTTGATGTCCTTTTGTTTTTTGAGTTTGATGGCTTAAAACTTCCAATAATTGGGAGGAAGACCTAAATCAAGGTTCAACTTTTCAGTTCACTGGAAAGTTTCCCAGTTGGGTTGTGGGACTCTGCTAGGTCACATGTGGAGATGAGTACTTCATGTTCTTTATCAGTTATAAAGATGGTATTTCTGACCCAAACTGTTCTTGCACTTTTACACTGTAAGATTCCTTTAGAAAGGCAGATTTGCACTGACCGTTTGTTTATTGTAAGTATGCTCCATGCGAAATTATCAAGTCTGTTGTGAAGTTTGAACTGGTAATCTTGACTTTATTATCTTGATAATATAAATAGATAATAACCATTAAATATAATCACATCCTTTTGGGGCGCCCTAAAGTGGTAGGCAGTAGATAAAGCAGAGGAGAAAAGCAGTGTGGCTCTGACATCTGTATTAAATCGCTATGAGTCTAACAATGTGTTCAGAAATCAGGCAAATTGTTGTTGTCCTGTTTTTGTGAAAGCATTATGGAAACAAAGCCCTAGTCTTTCAAGAAGATAGGGATCTTGAATTTGAGGACTGGATTTCACAGTGATTAATAACATAATCTTGAGCAAATGGTTGTCCAGGAAATCTAAGTAAGTGGAGCACTGAGAGAGAGTTATATGATCTTTAATGTAAGCTTTGTGACACATTAGAGGAATTCAGTAAGTAAATATTAGTTGAATTAATTAATTAAAATTTCCTTATGACTTTTCTAATTATTACCTTCTAGAATTAATAATACTCAGGCAATTTTCAATTTTGGGTAAGGATTTCTTTCCTTCTTAGAATTGTTTGATTAGGCTAGTTTTTGTAGATTTTTTTTGTTGCTGTTGTAATTTTAGGAGCCACCTATTATAACTTAATAGTTCTGAATGTTTTATAAAAGTCTTGGTGCCTGTATCAAACACTAGGTGTGCACATAGGCATATATAAGACATATATTCAAACATCACACATGCTTCAAACTTGAGTATAATGGTGATCATTCAGCTATTCACCAACCATCCTGAGGCTGAGCAAACAGAGAGGCTGTTTTAATTGGTACTTTTTGGCCCAATTTAGAATTTTCGAGGGACAATAGTAATGACAAATGAATTACTCAAACATTTTTTGCCTCTCTGAGATTAATCCTATCTGGTTCAGGTCTTGGTTACATTATAGAACTTGTCTTCCCTTGTGTTGGTAGAAGTTATTTGAACTGCTTTAGCCAACATCTGCAAATACCATATGCCAGTGATCAGAGTAGGCAATTGATTTGGAGAACCCTTTGCTTTTCCCAAAGCCAGTTTATCTGGAGTGTGGCAACCCTTAGAATCGGAGATAGCACTCAATTTTTTGGAAGCTGATTTTGCTCTGTTGTTAAACTATTGTTATTGCTGCTTCCATTTATAATTTAAAGATTTATAAAGCTTAATTTATAAACATGCCCCTGGGCTCTTAGGTAATCAAGTAATTCTGTCCTAGATTACAATTTTGTAGACCTCTTAACCTGGCAGTTGCCTAAAGCTCTTTAAAAAGAACACAGCTTTGCTTTTTGCTCTGCTGCCAAGATTTCTTGTATTATAATTGCTACAAGGAAAAAGTATGGGTTTTTTTTGGAATTTGAAATGTTGCAGGTAAATAATCCTAAAAGTGCTATTTGTGCTTTAGTACTACTTGATTTAGAACTTTCGGTTATATTGTTGGAGAATGATGAACTTCAGGTTGCATTTTAGTTGTCTTCTGTCTGAACAACTCTATGACCATAATTTGATAACCTAGATGAAATGGACCAATTTGCCAAAATTCATACAAAAAGAAATAAACAGTAGTAAATGGATAAATAAACAGTAGGTAAATGGTAAATTAATAACCTGGTACATGCAGACAATTGGAATATTATTCAGCTCTAAAAAGAAATAAGCAAAGAAATGAGCTGTCAGGCCATGAAAGACACAGAGGAAGCTGAAATTCATACTGGTAAATTAACACTGCCAATCTGAAAAGGCTACACAGTGTATGGTTTCAACTATTTGACTGTGGAACTATGGAGACAAAAAAGATCAATGGTTGCCAGAGTGGGGAGAAGAAAGGGTTGAATAGGCAGAGCAGAGAGGATTTTTAGGGCAGTGAAACTATTCTATATGATACTATAGTGATAGATGTGTGTCTTTATATGTTTGTTAAAATCCATAAAATGTGCAACATACAGTGAACCCTTATATAACTCTGGTATTTGAATGAGTGGATGTAGTTTGCCAACTGTAACAAATGTAACAACCACTCTAGAGCAGAATGGTGATAACTGAGGAGGCTGTGTATGTGTGAGTGCAGGGCTAGTGGGGGGAATCTCTGTACCTGCCTCTCAATTTTGCCATGAACCTAAAACAGATCTAAAAAAATTAAGTATTAGCAGACTTAGAATAGTATTTTCAAACTTAATTGTCCTTGCTTAAATAAGCACAAGGAAAGGACTCTTAGTTTCTCCTCAATTTGGCAACATTAACATGGACCTCTGTGGCTACTCTTTCTCATCATTCATTGTATTCATTTGAATCTCACCATTAAGATTCACTCACCTGGGACAATTTTAGTAATTTTAGTATCAATACTATATTGAACATATCAAATATATTTAAATCTATGAATGATTTCATAGTTCTACTAAGAAAATAAAAATGAAAACTGATCACTTACAGATGATACCAGGAAATGCATACATATAAAATGTGTGTGTGTGTGTCTGTATATATACAGACACACACACACACACACACACACACACACACATATTAAATGTTCAATGAAGAAATTTGAACATTGACTAAATATGTTGACAGGGAATTTTAAAATATTTTAGGTATGATAATGTATATCATGGTTTTTAAAAGCACCTTTATCTTTTGGAAATTCACAATGAAATAATTATGCATGAAGTATCAAGATATCTAAGATTGGCTTTAATTGATAGAAGAGAGGGGATATGTGAGGGATAGAAAGGAAGTAAGATTGTCTGAATTAGTTGATAATCGTCTAGGCTAGGTGAGGAACATACAGGAATTGGTGGTACTACTTTCTGTACTTTTTACAGAATAAAACAATTCATTCAGAAAATATTGAGTGTCTACATGTGCCATGCACTATGCTAGGTTTAGGTTTTACATTGATCAGTAAAAGCACGTAAATCATTACTAACCTTATAGAACTTTCAGCTCTCAGGAGGCAGATGGTAAAGAGATTCACAGTGTATGATAAATCATGATCTCTGAAGGGACATTAACAGTTTAGTGAATGAGAATTATAGGGAAAGCCCTCACTGCAGGCTGAATGGGGTGGGTCTCTGAGATGGTGGTATTTCAACCAAGACCTAAAGGATGAGAATGGCCAGCCATGAGAGACTGGAGAAGGATTATAGGACCTGGAGGTGAGAGGAAGTACTTGACATAAGTCCCCTCATTTTTTCACTCTGAGAGCAATTATCTTCTTGTCTAACCACTTGCTGGTGTAATATTTATTTTTTGACTATTCCTTGTATATTTATGTGTGTCTAATCTTAGCTCCAATTAAAGAAGAAACTCCAGAACTACATAGTGCTCTGAATAGATGTCAGTAGCATGTGACTTTGACGAGTACTTTTCAAAAGACTGTCAGGTCGTAAATACGAATAGTCTTGAGTCTTTGAGCAAAAGAATCATCAATTAAAATGAAGTATATCCTAGTAATCCTGGAAAATAAGAGAAATATGTCTTGGGTTCTGGATTATATTTTGTTAAGATAGCTACAACAAATCCTGTCCTTTATTTACCCTTTTGTCTGTTAGAGTATAAAGATATACTATTTTTTTTGAAGTGCCTGAATTTCTTACAATGAATTAAAGATGTTATATTATTATTGTTATTATTTATTTAAGTACCATGTTTTCCTATGATTGAATATAAGGCACAATGGAGAGACTCAATAAATGTTAAATAAGTGATTGATGCCTTGTACAAACTTCTCTTTGCCAAAGCCTTCTCTTTTGAGTCTGTATCAGAGGCTTCTACCATATTTATATCAGTTATAAATATATAAATAAATATTTAAATAAATATTCTTTTATACTCCTTTGTTCTGCTTTCTTGGATTATTTTGAAAGACATCTTCCTTACCCATCTACTCCTATTCTAGGCGGGAATGTATATGTGGTGGTGGGAGAGATGTTGCTTATTTTTCAGAGCATAATTTCCTCTTTGTTCCTATTTAGACATATTACAGATGCCACACTTGCCATTGTAAAAGGAGAGACAGTTCCACTTGACGTCTTACAGATCAAGGTAAAGTCTTTCCTTCAGATTTTGAAAAAATTATGGAAGTAGTAGACATGTACATGTAAAAGAAAATTAAATGTTGTGGTTCAAATTAGACTGCAATGAATAGTCCCTCTTCCCTCCCTATTCCAAGTATTAATCTCCAGAACAAAAATCTTATGTGCTGGTTGGGGATATAGCTCAGTTGGTAGAGTGTTTGCCTAGCATGCACAAGGCTCTGGGTTCAAACACCAGCATCACCACCACAAAAAAAAAAAAAAAAATCTTATGCATTAAATCACTAATTAATATGCTTATGATCCTACTTTTTAAAGATATTGTGTGTGGTAGGGACTGAGTGTACATCTCAGTGGTAGAGTGTATTCTTAACATTTCCAAGGGCCTGCGTTTGATCCATGGTACTACATGCACACATGCAAGTAAAAAAAAAATATCATGGTAAACATCACATAAACAAAATTTACTATCTTATCTATTTTAAGTGTATACTACTTCAGTAGTATTAAGTATATGATGCTATTTTTTAATGTATCAGCTTTTTTCTTGACTTCTGTTTTGAATTCCTCTATATGTCTTCCTAATGAGTTGCATCTCTATTTTCAGTTCTTCTGTTGACTGTCTTTGGATCACAAGCAATTTATCTGTTCATATGGTTGTTCTGAATATTAAGAGAGCTCATAAAAATAAAGTCCTTAGGACAGTGACTGATTTCATCTCACTTGTTTATATAGTGGCCACTTATTTCTCCTATGCTTTGTTGGAGTTGAAACCTTGCTCCTGTCCCATCTTTACTTTGGAGCAATCTGTCATTATTTGGAACTCAGGTTACTTGGTTGTCTTGCAATCTTACCTTTCATATGGACTTAGAAAAGTTGTGATTTTTATAGTTTTTCTTTTTCTCATTTTTCAGGTAGGAATAATGTTTTTTATAGCTTCTATACATCCTAGGTGGGAACAGAACATCCTATTTTTATATCGCATTGTTTAACATTTTCTGGTTCATCTGTAGAGAAACTCAGGAATTGTTTTAGAAATGCGTTTGCTGGCTATGCCCTCTGAAAGGGATTAGAAGCAATGGACACCCCACAGAAGTGAACATACCTGGCATTCAGATTTTCTTCTCTAAATACCATTCCCTAACAAAAATAATCAAGATTCTGTGATGGGATGGTTTTTAGAAGCAGAGCAGAAAGGCAAGGGAGTACTCAAAAATTGATGGGGACATCACAGAAAGATAAGAACCAGCCTGGTGGTGTCATACTCACTGATTTGGGGACATTTTGAATATCAAAAAAACAGTAACACTGATGGATTATAATACCGTAAATAAAAATGAAGAATCCATGAGTGTCCAGTGATATCACAGAATTGCCAGCTTGTAAATGTAAACAGAATGATAGAATAAGAACATTAGTATTTTCCGTCACCATATGGCTAATTGATTTCAGGTTGAGACCATCCATGGATACTAAAAGTATTAGATAAAAAGCTGTTGGGAAACAAATATCCAAATAGTCTCAAATTATTAATAATTAAAAAGAAAAAAATACATTTTTAGAGTGGAAAAAACTAGCATATACCACTTCATCCAAGTAATCAAACTGAATACCACCAATAATGGAGCATACTGACATTATTTGACTTCTGATGTGATATACTGAGAAACATGCACCAGCACTTATGCAGTTTCCTGACCAAAGTGATAAACTCATCTGAATCTAATTGAATCTCATCACAAGAAAAGTATCAGACAAATACAAATTTTGGACTGGCCTCTTCCAAAAATGTCAATGTCATGAAATCCAAAAGAAGGTAGTCTCTTCAAGATTAAGGGAAACTAAAGAAGTAAAACTAAATCCAGTATAAGATCCTAGATCAGAAAAATGAAAATCAGTGGCAATCCTGATAGACATTATTAGAACAATTAGAGAGATATTTTAATATGAAGTCTATATTAGATATTATATATCAGTGTTAGATTTCTAGAAAGTGACATTGGTGCAATGTTATGTCTGTGTATATCTTTGTTCTTAGGAGAGGCATGCTGAAATATTTGTGAATTTCTTAACTTATTTGCAAATTAAGTAATACTATGGAACATACACATAGAGAGATAAGGCTAATATAGTGGAGAGACATGGGTAATGATGAATTTAGGTGAGAGGTATAAATGGTATTCATTGTACTACTTAGATTTTTTGGTTGACATTTTTCCAAAATAAAATGTTTTGGGAAAAATGTTCAATACCCATTTCCGATTCTTGATCAGGATTCTCTCTTTAAAAATAATTTAATTCCTAGAAAACATATATTCTTACTTGGATAGTAGTTAAGTTACTGTTCTTTCTTCATCTAATTTGTTTTCCCCTAGTCAAAATTCATGGGCTGGAGTTGTGGCTCAGTTGTAGAGTGCTTGCCTAGCATGTGTGAGGCACTGGGTTCAATTCTTAGCACCACATTTAAACAAATGAATAAAATAAAGATCCATCAACAACTTAAAAAAAAAAAAGGACAAATTCCTAAGAAGGCAAATCTGTGCTATTAAATCATCCTATAAATTGTAAGTTTCTTGTACTCTTTACTCAGATTTGGCCTTAAAATATACCAACGTCTGCCAGGCATGGTGGAACAATCCTGTAATCCCAGTGGCTGGGGAGGCTGAGGCAGTACAATCATAGTTCAAAGCGAGCCTCGCAATATAGTGAGGCCCTAAGCAAATTAGTGAGATCCTGTCTCAAAATAAAAATAAAAAGGACTTGAGATGTGGCTAAATGGTTAAGCACCCCTGAGTTCAATCCTTGGTACCAGGGGGGAAAAAAATTACCAGCTACTTTCAGAATGAACATTTTTATATTTCATATGCTTCTTGATATTTGCTAAAGGGTCATAATTTCAAACTTCAAGCCCTAAAAGTCTCTATTAGTAACACTGATTGAGCATCCCAAATCTGGAAAGCTCCAAATTTCAGATTTGTCTGAATCAAAAATTCAGTCAGATTTGATTCTGATTCAGATTTAAATCTGAAATTTAGAACTTTCCAGATTCAGGATGCTCAACTGGTGATCTTTGTGAAAATATTCCCAAATCCTAAAAACTCCAAAATTGGAAATGTTTCTGATCCAAAACATTTCAGATAAGAGGTCACCCTGGGTAGAGTTTGCAGTGTGCATTTATAACTGGTAAACATGAGCTTTTAAGATTTGCCTTGTATTTTCCTTTCTTCATGCAGAGATAGCCCAGGCTCTAGCATGACCTCATTGGTCATAAGAGAAGTGATTTAAATATTGTAGTTGATCTTTCAGCATATAATAAAGTTAGGTTGTTCTCACAAAATATAAAACCTTTGCTTAAAGAAATTCTAGCCTAGGTAAAGTACTAGATTGTTATCTAGAAGATAGTATTTTAAAACATTGTTATTGCTAAAAGATTCTCTCTTAATAACAGGATATATCAGGGTAGATTTCTTAATAACTGAGTGATTTACTTTTGGTTATATAAGTGTTAGAAGTGCATTTTATAGTAATTAGAATTTAATTGGAAATTGTTGATGTGCTTTATTTAAATGCCTCATCTCTCTCTCTCTTTCCTTCAATGTACTGATTTTGTGAATTGATGAAACCAAGGTCCAAATTACCACAGGTTCCGTATATTGATGATGCAGCCCAGGAAGCAGAAAACTTTTAAGTCAGTTCCTGGAAAACAGCTTCTCCTCTGGTTTCTGAGGAACTCAACTCAGTTTAATTCATTTCCCCTTTTCTCCTTATTTTTGTAAAGAGCTTTCAGATATTGAGAAAAGCATTAAGGCATAGTCTGAAACCATAAGCATTATAGATGAAGCCTGACAACAAATTCTTCTTTTAGAGATCAACTCAAACTCCAATAAACATTTAACTGCAGATTCTCCAAAGATAAAAGCAGCAGTCATTGGAAGTTATAATGATGTCTTGCATTAGCTTTTTCAATGTTCACCATGTGTTCATATCTCATTTGAACCTCTGACTGAGTCAAGATGTGTATCAGAATCTTCATTTGACAGTCACTGGTTATGTGACTATGTTGGAGACAGAGCTAGACTGTTTTCTGACTCATGGTCTGTTGCTTTTTCTACTTTATCACCTGGCAATATACCATGATTTTTAAAGAGCAGTTTTTTTCCAATATAGACATCTTGAATACTTAACTCTAAAGAAACTACTGGAAAGATTCATGGAATTTTTTCTAGTCTTTTTGATTTTTCAATTTTTAGACCACAGAACCAGATAGGGGAGATGGTGGGGGGCTGGAACATTTCCCTTATCCTCTGTATCCTTCCTGGCTAGTTACTTGGACTCCTTCTTCTTAGACCCGGGCTCTGAGCATTTTCCTAAGATTCTTAGAGGTTCTTCAGGGGTCCCTCCATCGATGTCTTCATCTAGAGTCCCTAAACTTCCTAGGTTAGGCAGGTAAATAATTGATAGGATTTGTTTTCTTTTCACTGTTCCTTAAGCCTATATTCCAATCCGCTCTTTCAACTATTTTCTCCCTCAAATCCCTGCTTTCTCAGGGATTTGCTCTTTCAGGGTGTCTGTGAATTGGGGCAACACATCTCCTTTGCTGTGTGGACCTGGCTGTGTGCTTTTTTTTTTCTTTTTTCTGATCTGTCCATCTCATGATCTGCCTGCCTGCCCAGACCTTCAATGGGCTAAGATATAGTGATACCTTGTCTCTTGGCCTCTTCTCTGTCGTTGTGACCATACTTATGCTTATTTTGACATTGTTCATGTCCAGCACAAGCTCCACAGGGGCTTATCTCCTTTACGGACACCTTCAGATACTTCTGAATCTTGACTTCTCTATGCCCATTCTTGGTTGGGCATCTCTACATCTGTTTGAACATTCCTGGCTGCCCATTTTGTTGGCCAGAATCATCCCACCTCTTGCTAGGACATAGCACCCCATATCAGTGGAAGCTTGAGATTATAAGACTTTTCTGTTGTCCTAACAGAATATTCCTAAGACTCTTTCCCCCAGATGAAGGAGGAGGAAACATGTTGGGGCACCAATCTGCAAGTCTTGAGAACTTGCCTTACCATGTCTTACCTATACCACATACCTTAGAATGGAGTTCCCAAGTCCTCCCAGAGAAGGGTTGACAATTAACAACTCAGGAAAACTGCATGTTATATTTCTCCTTTTAGAAATTTATGATGTACATTACCATACTAAAGACCCTAAAAAGAGCTGCACTACACAGCTTGTTTCAAACCAAATAGGTTTCGTGTTTCCCATTCTGTCTCACCATGGAATCTTGTCATCACCATCATCGTCGTTGGGGACACTTGTTTTTATCTTAGGAATCCCATGGGGAAATGCTGAGGACACAGCAAACACACAGTGTTGTTTCTCTCTCCTGGGCTAGAGTGCTTTCTCCTCTCCTTTTCTTCTTTCTCTCTAGTCCTCTCCCAACCTCTCCTAATCTAGGTCCCTTATTTTAAAAATGTTACTGATAAAATTACAAAGTTGCAAGTAGGCGGAATAAGTTTTGAGATCTAATTAAACAGGGTGTCAAGAATCAATAATAATGTATTATATGTTTCAAACTAAGAACCTTCAAGTGTCTCATCAAAAAAGATAAGTGAGGTGATGGATACGTTAATTAGCTTGATTCAATCATTTTACTTTGTATACATGTATAAAATCATCACATTGTAACCTATTAATGTGTACAACTGGGATTTGTCAATTAAAAATAACGTTAACAGCCAGGTGTGATGGCGCATGCCTATAATCCTAGCAGCTAGGAAGGTGGAGGCAGGATGATCGCAAGTTCAAAACCAGCCTTAGCAACTTAGTGAGGCCATGAGCAGCTTAGTGAGACCCTGCCTCAAAATAAAGAATAAAAAAGGGTAGGATGGGGCTTAGTGATTAAGCATCCCTGGATTCGATCTCCATTACTCCTCTTGCCCAAAATAGAAAGGGCTGGGGATGTGACTCAGTGTTAAGTTCCCCTGTGCTTAATCCCTGGTATCTGTACCCTCCAAAACAAGTCAATAAAAAATATATATATATATAAATTTGTGTTTTGTTTTAAAATGTGTGTTGTTCTCCCTGACTGTTCTCCTCTTTTGCTCTCCAACACATTATATAGCTGCACATGCTGTGTGCTGTCATAATGTTCTACATATCTGTTATTTGAACTGCCTATAGATGTGCCTTTTGTTTGTATTTGAGTCTAAATAGCCTCTGCTATACTTTGAGCTCCTTCATCCTTGTCACAAGGCCTAGAGTGGGGTGCTCAATAAATATTTATTGGTTAAATGAATGAATGCATCTTTTTTTAAAAAAAAAATTATTCTAATTTGTTATGTATGACAGTAAAATGCATTACATTTCATATTACACATATAAAGCACAATTTTTCATATTTCTGGTTGTATACAAAGTATATTCACACCATTCGTGTCTTTATACATGTACTTAGGGTAATGATGTCCATTTCATTCCACCCTCATTTCTACCCCCATGCCCCCTCCCTTCCCCTTTTCCCCTTGACCTATCTAGAGTTTATCTAATCTTATCATGCTTCCCCTCCCAACCCCACTATGAATCAGCTTCCTTATATCACAGAAAACATTTAGCATTTGTTTTTTTGGGATTGGCTAATTTCACTTGGCATTATATTCTCCAACTCCATCCATTTACCTGCAGATGCCATGATTTTATTCTCTTTTTATTGCTGACGAATGCATAAAGATGCATCTTAAGATATTTGAGAATGACTTTGCAGAATTATAGTGAGAAAGGTTTTTGATTCACATAAATGCTTTATAAGATTAGTCTGTCACTTAATTTTATGATTAACAACAATTTCACATAATTTTTATTTTAAAATAAATTTTATTTACTGGTTTGTGCCACTCATTGTTTCAGGAGGTGAGTCTACAGTGGTGATAACCCTTTATATACTCTTAGTAGATCGCCTGTAGATAAGTTTGAATATCAAGCAAAAGAGAACTCTGTTTTCACAGATAGAAGCCAATGTTCAAGGGTTAAGTGGCATGCCTTATAGCATCTATGAATTATTGAGGATTCTTACTTCAAAATACTTGTGTTAAGTTGCTGTTCTATTTTATAAATCTCCAGTGATCAGTATGCAACATTTCTATGAAATCATATTTTACTCTCCCCTTTTCTACTTCACATGATTGCTTATGCTTTGGTAAAAGCATTACTTATTATATCCAAAAACATTGTCATCCTGACTCTCCATAAACAGGCAGGCAAGAAATCACCTTGACTCTATCTTCAAAAGATATTCAGAATATAGCATTTCATCTTTTTCTACCTCAGCCCTGGGCACCTTCATCTTTTGTCTAGATTATTTCACGGTTCTCTACTGTTCTCCCTCTGTCCTTACCTCTTCGTGATCTTTTTTCAACAGTCAGGATGCAGTGACAAGTTAGGGTACCTCACTCTGCTCAAAGCCCTTTGGTAGGGTCCCATCTTTGAATAAAAGCCAAAGGCCTTCAAGGCCACAGTCTTGTCCCTATCATCTTTCTGGCCTTATCTGTACTGGTTGTGTACTTCAGGTTTGTGCAGATGTCACTGTATGGACAGAAGCTTCCCCCACCTCCTTATATTGATTGGTAATCACTCCTCCCTGGAATATCTGCACTTCTATTTTACTCTCCCCTTTTCTACTGTTTCTAGCCCCTATACTGTTGATATGTGGGAAAAGGTTAGAGAAAGATCTTTTTACTTAGCAGATGGTGTTATAGATCTCTCTTGGTGGCTGAGGCCCTAGTACGAGCTCTCTTGTGGGTTCACATGTGAATTCCTTGGGATGCCTCCTTTGATGTCATTTTCTGATGTTGGAGGTCTGTTCTAGCTCCTCCTCTTTCAGCTCCCTCCCTTAACTCCTGGGCATAGTACCTTCCATAGCCTCTCACTTCTGGGGTACTGTGGCCATTGTGCCAGACTCTTAGATGAGGTACTGTCAAAACAACTCAGTCCTGCTGTCGTCTATTGTGTCCACTCAGCACCTGGGAAACCAGTGTGTTCTTTGTCAGTCAGCGAGTTGCCCCACTCTCACCCATTTTCTATGCCATCTCTGCTTCTAGTTCCCATTTCCTGTGTGTGAGCAGATACAGAGCAGAAAAGCTAGTCTCTTTACTGCACTAGCAGGGATGAGAAGCTGGTGTCTCTTTCTTGTAGCTTCTCCTACTTATGTGTGATTTGCCAAGAAATTCTTTGCTTGATTTTGGTGTAGTGGGAGTGGGACTGACAACAGGGTTGGGAGAGCCCTCCTCTTCTGAGAGAAGAGGTTGCATGCTTTTTCCAAGCCAGCAACTTCCAGTGCTAAGGTCACTCAGGTCATAATCTTTCACATGCTAGTGTAGTGGGGTGATGTATGGGGGACACCCTACTGTTTTGCTTTTGGTGAAAGCATTACTTATTATATCCAAAAACATTGTCATCCTGACTGTGTAGATGATCCCATCCACACAGCAAGGGATCATTATACTGCATAGAGGTATGAATCAGCTGAGAAACATTAACCAGAAATTATAGAAATAAAATAAAAATTAATTTATTAATTGAAAGTGGGGCATGGTGAGACCAGCTCTGATTGAGACAGGATTTGACAACAAAATGGAGTCTGAGCAGCTATTTATGTGGGCAGGTGCACTAGAGGGATTCAGTGGGAAGAAATTCTTCAGGAAAACAGGAGGAAGATGGAAAAAACAAGTTATTTGGGGCTTAGCAGGTTATGCCAACCTCCTTTATCTCTGGGCAGGCTGGGATTTAGAAATCAAGGCTTTTAGAACTAGTGAGTTCTATGGCAAATACAGAACTTTCCCCCATCAATAGTAATTGTTTTGCAGATGTGCATCCTCCCGGCACCCTTGTATCATGGGGTTCCCCAAAGCAGTGTTTCATTGTCTAGGGTTTCACATAGTCAAAGCAATGATTTATCAACCACCTATGACATAACTGGTTCTACTGCCTTTTAGCAAACTCTCTGTTGTGTCTGGCATTTGTCAGCTCTCTTTAGAATTGAGGGTTGCTGTTAGTTTTCAGCTCTTGGGATTTAGCTATGATTTTGAATACATAAATAAATAATTCTATCCAGAATCTTGGTGTATATATATTATATATACTTTAAGGAAGGTTCATTTTGAAGTATTAAATTCTTAGGGTTATTGTTTGTTGGATGATTTGTCTCATTATTGCTTAATACACCAATTTGTTAGAAACTTAATAATTTTAATATGTGAGATTTGGCTATACAATATTAAATCTGAATCACTTTTTACTCTGACTTGACATATATTTGTGTTTTCCAATATTCAGGTGATATATCCTAGAACATCAGAATTATATCTTAAGAGTTCTTGGTCCTTTAAAGAGAATGCAGGCTTAAGTTACCTTTACCTTGGACAAGTTTTTGAGGGAGAAGGAATTCTGGCTGACCTGATTAGTGACTTGCTCAAGAACTAGCATAGTTCCTTAATTTACAATCTGGGAGTATGATAATATGTTTCCTTGATGACAGATTCATGAGACCTAATATATAAAAATTACTTTCACTTTACAGTGTGGATTATTCAAGTTCTCTTTCCCTATGCTAAGAGGGTTAATTTCTTTAATGTTTGAACATACTTTTTAGAATCTGGGTTGTTGGACAGCATGAACACTTGCTGGGTCCTTACACATAGAGAGTTCTGAGCTATTGTATTTGTGAAACTAAATGAAGTGTATATTTAATTTCCAGGGTGAAAAGGAACAACCTGTGTTTGCAATGACTGGCCTACGATGGGGATCCTTCAGAGATGCTGGCGTCAAAGTTAGCAAGTAAAGGATTGTTACATTGATAGTTTTTAAAAAATCTTTTTCTGTCCTTGCCTTTGAGGTATTAATATACAGTGGTCTGGGAATAAATCAGGTGGGCCTGGAGGTTGGACTGGGTATGATTAATGAGGTAGGAACACTGAGGCAGAGGTTTGCATCCTGTTTGCTCAACAGTAGCTTGTTGGGAGCTGAAGAGCAGAGTGCTCCATCTCTAATTTTAGTCACAGTATTTGAGTGGACATTTAGGCTCAAGCTAGAAGGAAGGGAAGCTGAATGCCTGCCATACAGCAGCATGTTCAGCTGGGTTCTGAGCTGAAGGCATTGCATGGCCTCAGCTTAATGGAGCTTTTACAGTCCTGGTTGGGGTACCTTTCCTGAGAGGTGTTTTTTGTTTGTTTTTTGAAGGCCTCACAGATTAAGAGACCACTGGCTACCTCTCTTAGAGAAGGGTGAAAGGTGGACACCTGATTGTGATGTGATGTGGGTGAACAGGCTGTAGAGTTGCTGATTAGAGGGCCATTGCTGGCTTTCATTGCAATAGACTTATTTTTGGAGAATCCATTGTATGAAATGAAACTCTTGGCTGGAAAAGAGTGCATGTTGTGTTCCATTTGATGAGGCGAGATTGAGGAGGCTAGGGCTTCCACCGTAGGACTGAGGGAGGTGCCTTGTGAGGTGCACCTCATTCCTGGCAGATGGTGTTTTTGTCTTTCTTTTTCTTAAGGCCCATAACTTCAGATTTCAGTGTAGTTTAGCTGATTGTGGTTGATCTCATACACAGCTCTCACATCAAGAAACCCTTCTTGGGGCTGGGGTCATAGCTCAGTGGTAGAGCACTTGCCTAACATGTGTGAGATGCTGGGTTTGATTCTCAGCACTGCATGTAAAAAAATAAATAAAATAAAGGTCCATTGACAACTTAAAAAAAAGAAACTCTTCCTGTACTTGGCAGGCAAGTCTGCCACACTTTCTTTTACAGAAATTTCTCTCACTTGTTTCACTTTATTATTCTTGCTAATGAAATTTCTGACTGTGAAATGTCAAAAGACAGATATTACTATGTTATATTGCACACTGCAGTCTTAAATATTTCACATCTTCTTATTTGCAAATATACCATGATTATGTCGATGCCACAAATTACCTTGTGTTTGATCTGCAGTCTCATATTCCCACAGCTCACCAAGAAGAATTGCTTAGCTCTCCCTAAAACAGGCTGGTGAGAACAAATTGCTTTCCAAAATGTGTTGATCAACAATTAGATACAAGCACAGGTCAGGCCTCTTAGGAATATCTCACATACTTGTCCTGTATTTTGACAAGTTTCCAAACAGTGAATTTTAAAATTTGGGGGTGGTTATATTATACCATGGCTAGGACTGGCCACTGAGTTGCTTTTTGTGTGAAAGGAAAAACAGAAGGGATACAAGAAATCACTCCCTAGCTGGCCATAGGAAGACTACAAGCCTGGTATTAAAATTTACTATTGGTAGAGGTGAGGGAACTGCTGACAATTTAGAAATAAACTGCCTGAGTCAGGATGTTTTCTACTTGGCTAACTGGGAAAAAAATCAAAGTATAAAGTAAGCTAGAAAAAAAAAAAAATCAGATGACCAAGGCCCTTGTTAGTAGCCTCACAGTATTAACCTAAATAATGATTTAGAGTGCTCCACATTGCCTGTTGGAGCCAGTCTGTACACATTCTGCTATTCCAGGCTCTGCTTACTGTGTCATTGGCCTGTAGTTATGTATTTATATATCTTTATTTTTAAGCTTTCCTTCTTTTTCTGTTACTGTCACTATTTTCCATATCTTTGTACCTCCTCTTGCCTAAAATGACTTCCTTCCCTCTTTTGTGTACCTAAACCCAACTCAGGCCCACCTACATTCTAAGCTCTGTGCCCTTACTTTATTCTTGTGCCATTCATTTCACAAGTGTGGCTGTTCCAGTGGTTTTAGGCCTTTAATGATGTTTGTCCTTTCTTGACTCCCCTTACCAATGATAAATAGTGAACAGTTTAAACCATGACCTATATTCATGTATTATTTTCTATTATTTTGGGGTTTATTTTCTCTAATCATGAACTCCCAAAGATGGGAATTTTATACTCTATATTTTTTTGCCTCCATATACATGGTGAGAGCTAAATGAGTATCTATGGATCAGAATCAGTAGGGAGCAATGAAGGTAGGATGGTTGATAACACAGATAAATTTCAAGAAAGGAATCTACTCCCCCCCCCCCCATTTTTTATCAGTGCATTATAGTTGTACATAGTGATGGGGTTTGTTGTTACATATTTGTACTTGCACTCAAGATGGCAATATAATTTTGGCCAGTATCACTCCCTAGTATTTCCTCCTTCCTCCCAACTCCTGGTCCCTTTCCTTTATTCTACTGATCTCTCTTTGATTTTCATAAGAGGACCCCCACCACTAACACCACCACCTTTCTGTTCCTTTTTCCTCTCTAGTTTCCACATATGTGAGAAAACATATGACCCTGGACATTCTGAGTTGGGCTTATTTCACTTAACATAATGTCTCAAGTTCTTTCCATTTTCCTGAAAATGCCATAATTTCATTTTCTTTATGGCTGAATAAAACTCTAATGTATATACCATATTTTCTTTATCCATTCATCAGTTGATGGATACCCAGGCTAGTTTCATAATTGTGAATTGTGCTGCTATAAACATTGGATATGCATCTAACACTATAGCCTGAGGACTTTAATTCTTTAGAATAAATACCAAGAAGTGGTAAGACTGGATCATATGTGGCTGGATCATATCATGCCTAGTCTTTTGAAGGAACCTCCATACTGATTTCCATACTGGTTATACTAATTTATAATCCCACCAACAGTTTAAGTGTTCCTTTTTATCTATGTAAGAGGAATCTACTTTCTAATTCCAACTAGGCATCTTCCTTTCTTCAGTAACTTTTATGTGTCTAGCAGTACTCAGTGGGTCCTCTTCACTTTTGATTTAACATTTGCCACTAAAACTGCATAGCGCAAGTAATGTGAAAGTATGCTGGTTTACAAATTTTAATTGTTGGTGTGTTGGTGTGTGTGAGAGGACATGGGGTACAGGATCCCATTGTGTGTCCTACAACACATAAGGCTGTACAGCATCTGCATCATCTCAGTGTGGCTTCAGCATCCTATCTTTGCGGCTCTTTTGACTGTGTTCTCAACTGCATTCTGTGTTTGAAAATCTGTATTATAATGATACTTTTGAATTTAGGGACTCCAAATTCTGGTTATTTGTCTCTTGTAAATTGCAAACATCTTTCTACTGTCTAATTACATACAGTTGGCCATGGCATTGAAATACAGATTAAAATGTACTATAGTATGCTTATGTTAAGCCACAAAGCCTCCAGTGCAGCAAATCATAATAGCAGTGTCATTCTAACATATCATTTATCATGAGTGCTACCTATCATATTGTTATATCTTTTAATATTCTAATCATATTTATCTTGGTCTTCCTCAGGTACTGGTATCTTGGACCTCTAAAAATCAAAGCAGCCCACTTTTTCAGCACTCTTCAGGTAAATGCAATTTTTAATGTAGAACCTGCCCTGTGTTACTTTGTCGTTTTTGTGATGTGTGCATTTGAGGGTTGTTTTTTTTTTTTAATTCCTTGTAACAAATGCATGTGGCATTCTCCAACATTAAAATGGTCCATTTGATTATATACAATTACAGAAAGCATTCTTGTTTTTGTAAGAAACCACTGCTCATCTACAAACTCATTTCTTCCATGACCAAAACCATATTTAATTTCTCTTTGATATTTTATTTCCCTTTGTTATTCACTCACTTTTAACAGACAAACCTTGAACAGAATGACATATATCTCAATTATTTATATGTGTCTCTATTGGTACCTGCCAATGAATTGAAAATTTCTAATGTAATATATCTAACCATACTTATGTATAATGTCAATAGGTTTCAAACTATACTAGCCAAATATGAGTAATGGTTACTGTATTGGACAGTACAGATATAGAACATTTAAATTTTTTTTTTATTTTAATATTTCTTTTTTAATTGTCAATAGACCTTTATTTTATTTATTTATATGTGCTGCTGAGAATCCAACTCAGGGCCTCACACATGCTAGGCAATTGCTCTACCACTGAGCCACAACCTCAGCCCTAGAACATTTTCATCATCAGAGAAGGTTCTTTTGGATAGTACTGCTATATATACTATACATTAAAAACTATTAAGGGCTAGGGGTCTGGCTCACTAGTAGAGTGCTTGCCTAGCATGTGTAAAGCCCTGGTTAGATTTCCAGAAGAGAAAAACAAAAAGAAAAACACAGTAAAAATCTTGGCACCGAGAAAATCTCAGCAATTTATATTACCGAAATGCTAATAGAAAAATCATCCTTATCTGTGGACTAAATACTATGATCAGCTTTTATGCTAATCAAAGTAGTATAATCAGTTTGGCTGGCTAATCTGAAAATTGGTAGTGAGAAAATTGGTTCCAATGTTAATATTCAGATTTATCAAGTTTTTTTTTCCTAATTATAAGAGTAATACTTGTCCATTGCAAAATATTTGGAAAGCATAAATCCCTTAACCTGAAAAAAATTCCTGTTGGGGGCTGGGGATGTGGCTCAAGCGGTAGTGTGCTCTCCTGGCATGTGTGCGGCCCGGGTTCGATCCTCAGCACCACATACAAACAGAGATGTTGTGTCCGCCAAAAACTAAAAAATAAATATTAAAATTTAAAAAAACAATTCCTGTTGGATTTAAAACTTAAATGTTAAAAACTAATATTGCTGAAATACAATAGTGATTTTAAAAATTAACTTGCCTTTCTATACCAGAGGCAGACTGGATTGTAAAGTGCATTATTATCCAAGGGAGTAATCACACTGATGAGCAGTGGGTACATTTAGGAATAAACAGCATGACTGTATGTTGAAAGGGTGGAGTACTGTTTCCACAGTGTATTCAGTAAGCAATTATTGATATAATCCTAGGATACCAAGCCAAACAAGAGGTTTTCTGACTTCAAGAAGAATTTATATGCTTGAGAGAAGTATTACAAGAAAACTGACATTTTGGCGAGTGCTAGGGGAGAAATAGGAAAGGATGAGATGGAAGCAGAGAGGGCAGCTTCCTAAATCTAAGTAAGGGTCAGAAAGCCTTCTCAGTGAAGGTGACACTTATGCTAAATTTTGAACTGTAAGTAGGACTAAAAAAGAGCATTTTGGTTAGAGAGACGGGCCTCGTGAAGTCCTTGTCACAGAGATGGACCATGGTCATTAATTACAGTTTATGCCGTGGGATGTCAGGAGAGGAAGCCAGAGGACAGGTTGGGGCGGGCTTTGATGTGCCATCTGACCTTTATCCTTAAGGCACTGGGGAGTTTTTGAGCCTTAAGCAGAGGCACATCATGAGCAATCTGCATTTTGGAAAAATTGTTTGGCAGCAGTGCAGGCAAGAGATTAGACATGGGTGGCTAAAGGAAGGACATTGGAGAAAAGAGTCTTACAGTAATTCAGTGATAAGGTATAGACTAAGGCAGTAACAATGAATGTGGACAGTGCAGGTCAGATCAGAGAGCTCTTGAGGTTAAAGTTCTCAAAAGTTGGAAGAACATTGGACTGCCAGATTTTTGGTTTAAGGTACTGGAGATTGGTAACTTAGTTTTTCATTAATGTTCATAATACTAGAGTAAGATCAAGTTTGTGAAGAAAGATGAAATTTTTAGTTTTGTTTGTGTGAACTTAACAGAGAAATGGAGATACAGTTGTGAGTTGGGTGGAATTCAGCAGAGTGGTCTGGTCTAAAGAAATCTATTTAGATGTCATATGTGCGTGAGTGGAGTTGAAACTCTGGGTTTGGTGAAGTCACCATTGACAGATGGCCAGGAATAGCCTTGAGGGATTAAACATTTAGAAAGCTGGAAAGGATGACTGGGGAATGCTAAGAAGAAATCTAGGAGAGTTCCAATAGAGAAGCCCACAGGAGAGGAATTTCTAGAATTGTAAGAAGTAACAGCAAAGAGTCTAGATCAAGATGGGAATGCGTCCTCAGGATTTGGCAGCCGTGGTGACCTCTACAGTGGGGGTAGGGTAGTTGTATATTAAGGAAAGCTAAGGAATGAGCGGGAGGTAAGGAAGTGGACACAGTAAGTATATTCTACCCTTTCAAGAACTTGGCTTGGGGGAAGAAAGAGAAACTTGATTTTGAAGAGGAGTTAAAAAAAATGCAAAAGCTGGAGAGAAGTAAAAAGTAGATCAGTGGAGTGTTTTTTTTTTTTTAAATTTTTCCAATTTTGTTTTTAAATTTTTCCAATTTTGTTTTCTAGTTGTAGATGGACACAATATCTTTATTTATTTATTTATTTTTAAATTTTTGTGTGGTGTGAGGATCGAACCCAGGGCCCCACGTGTTTGAGGCAAGCGCTCTACCACTGAGCACAACCCCAGCTCCTGGAGTCTTTCTTTCTTTCTTTCTCTCTCTCCCTCCCCCCCCCCCCTCTCCCCCCCCCCCCCTCTCTCTCTTTCTTTCATCTTAAAGAGAAATATCCATGTTTTTATACCCAGGGGTAAAAGAAAAGAATAGGAAGAGGTGAAGACAAAGGAGACTGAGAAAGCATGACTACATTGACAAAAATCCAGGAGCAGGTAGAAGAGTGTAGGATCCCTAGTTATCCTGGGGCAAGGAAGCAATGCAGTTTTTACTGAGATGGAAGGTCTGGATGAAATCAAGTTTATAGATAGTTAAGGACATTCTCACAAATGTACCTAATGTTCTCATTGAAATGAGTGATCTGCCAAAAATGAGGTGGGTGGTGATGGTGGCATGGAAGATTTTGAAGATGGAAGAGAGGAGATTTAGGGTTATCAAGTGGCATTGAGGACCTGAGCATATTAGTGCCACCACAAAAATTTGTGGTGGCACTAATATGCTCCTTTAGGAGTGTGTTTGTCTATCAGTGCTCAACAGGAGTATGTTTTTTTCTTTTTAATAGTGCTGAGCCCTGATGTAGGAATACTGAACGGAGCAGCAAGATCCAGAATTGGGGGCTCTCTAGGGCCCATGTTATCAAAGAATAAAGTCACAAGAGGGCCAAAGAGTAATGGGGAAAAAGGTGATTTAAAGTAATAGACTCTTAATTTGACACTGAGAGAACATGTAGAGATCAGGAACAGGAATTAACAATGTGATTGAAAACTTTGTGATTAGGATCTCAGAGACCAAAAAATAAGACCCTTCTTTTCTTCTTCTAAATGTGAACCAAGTTATGAAAATATGCAGAAGCGGGCAGATAGAGATGAAAATATCCGCAGGATATTGGTCACAGTCTGATTTCCTAACACTTCTGATTGTATTTGTCCAGCTGAAATAGCCAGCCCCTCCTGAACAGAGACCACCTGGGTAGGCTTACTGTTTGCATGAAGAGGCGAATGTGTCTCAAAGACAGCCAGTGTCAGGGAGGGAGGAGGCAGGGGTGGTCCCACATGTCAAGAACTGGGGAAGAATAAGCAAGCAGTGGAGTAAAAGGAATCCAAGATTGTTACTGTTTCCTAATTTGCCCTTTTGAAACCAGAGGACAGGGAGGTGATTCCCTCTAACAGACATACTGGGAACAACAACCAGAAGACTCCAGAATGTGTTTACAGAGTGGGCCATCAGGGTTTTAGATGTCCAAGATGGAATAGTTCTGAGTAACTGTCAGGGATAGGATGAGCTATGGAAATGGTGGCAGTGGTGAATCAGAGGGTTGAGAAGCTAAGGTGTGGTTTTAATTATTCCTGTGGGCATCAATGCAGTTCAGGATGATGCTGATGTGGGGTGCCAGGGAGTAGATGAGTGTGCCCTAGGTGAGCACAATGGGCTTTGAAGCAGAAATGAGAGACCTGGGCTGGGTTTAGAGTGTGAGACTGGGATAAACCGTTCTGGCCTCTTTGTGAAGTATGATTCCAGATGTGAAGTAGGTATTTGATGCAGTTGGATTTTAATCAGTCTCATTTTTGTGTCACCAATTGTAAACCAAAGATAAGTTTATTATGAGATGACTACTCTGTGCTCACTCACACTGATTTTTTGGGGGCTGGGGGTGGGGGTGGCGGTTGGGCAATTGTGAACAGTGGCTGGCAGTCCATTTTGGTCTCCTCCCTGCTGTATGTTAAGGAGAGCAATGAAGGCAGCAGTCACTGAGTTCATGGTTCTCAAGAGAGCTTGAAGAGGAAAGGAAAGCTTGAGGATTCCACATACCAAATGAATGAGAACTCCATCTGAGAGAGATCATTACTTTCTACCAGGAATAGCAGAACACTAACCTTACTTCCAGAGTTAGTAACTGTGCATGCATGACCAAAGTTTTTTTCTCTCCACATTAATAGGAATGGCCTCAGACTCATGAAGCCTCCATCTCCTACATGGGACCTACAGAGAGACCTCCCAGTGAACCAGAAGAGATCCCTCCCCGGCCTTCTCTGTACAGGAGAATATTACGCAGACTTGCCTCATACTGGGCACAACCGCAGGATGGTGAGCAACGTGGAACTGCACAGGAAAGCCCTGCTCACTTAGGAGTGTCCTTAAGCAGTCCCCCCACAACCAGTTTCAGAGACATAACTAGGACAAGAGCAGTCTCTCTAGGATCATTGAACTTACCAGTCAGGGTGCCACCAGAGAAGAGCCCAAACAATGCCCTGTGAATGGGCATAGTAGTCTCTACCCTCTTTCTGTCATTAGCATTTATGGTATTAGTATCACGTAGGGGTGCTGTCTCTGTTTAGTAAAGAATTGAAGAACAGGACACAGAGATTACAAGCAAGCAGGTTTACTGCAAAACAACAGAAACAGATTTCTCTGAAGAGAAGGGGCCGCAAAGCTGAGAATCCAGTAGGGGAGTTTTGGCTTCTTCTTTTTATGGTCTCTGGAATTTCCTCCTTTCCTTTTTTCCTCCCCTGTCCACACTCTCCTTCTGTTATTTATTTATGCGCCCTCTGCCCACACATCTGTTTTAGTTTTTCTATTGGATTCCCTGCTTAGTAGCATGAGTACAGAAGTGTCTGTCTGCCTGGGTCCCTCACTGGTGTCCACAAGTGCCTTCATCATCCAGGAAGTTGACCTCATCAGAATGCCCTCTCCATGCTCCTTTGTTTAGCCCTGCCCCTGACTTCCTCCTCCCTGGCCGTCTTGCCCTGGCTGCCTAGTTCCTACATCTCCGTCAGTATTGTGGCTGCTTTCAGTATGGGTGTTTCAGGCATTTTTCCTGTCTGTGTAAGAAGAGTGAAGTAAATAAGGCTAAAGTGGATGTGCTGGCAGAAGGTCTTGGGAAGCTGAGTTGAGCCATTGGTAGCTAGTCAGTGGTGGGGACTGAAATTTCAGTGGAAGAAGCTAACCTGTGTTGGATTCCCACAGCCCTCTCGCAAGAGGTGAGCCCAGAGATCTGGAAAGACTTACAGCTGTCCACCATTGAGCTGTCCATCACAACCCGGAATGGCCAGCTTGACCTGACAGTAAGTGTGTTTGTTTATTAGAAAAGCATTTGGTATCTAGGAAGAGTACATGCTTTTCTTGCATTAATCCAGTCTTTTTGTTTTTACCCTGTGGGTGTAGAGAGGAAAGGATCAGGAAAAAGATGATGTGGTGTGCCTTTAAGGAAGAATAGCAATGAGAAGCAGCAGTTGAGCACATTTGTGGCATAGACGCTTAAGGGCCTCTGAGCAGGTGTTCTGGTCATTCTTAGTCAGCCTTCAGAGGGCTTAGGACAAATGGCCTTTACAAATAAAATGCTAAAAAGATAGCTATTTTCATTTGCCACTGGAATAAAAAATTGTGGAACTTTTACTTGGGTAAATATCCATTATTTTTGTAACTATATTAAATATGTGGATTCAGATACCCAGGAGAAACACTCTCACTCTCTCACTCTCTCTCTCTCTCTCTCTCTCTCTCTCTCACACACACACACACACACACATACACACACACACACTTATATCTCCATCTATGATTATTTGGGTCCAATCTATAACATATACTATCCAATGTAATAGCCATTAGACTCATGCGACTATTTAAATTAATTAGAATTAAATTTAAAAACTCAGTTCTCAGTCACACTAGGTATACATTTCAAGTGCTCAAAAGCCATATGTGGCTAGTAGCTACTATATTAGAAAGAACAGATATAAAACATTTCCATCAGTGCAGAAAATTTGATGGATAGTAGTGCTATAGACAATGCACTAAAAAGAAATATATTAAAATAAAGCTTGGTTTGGCAAACTGGTCTTCTAACTGTTTACAAATAGCCCATAAGTGAAGAATTGATTACCTAGCTTATGTGGTGGCAAGAAAGGGGGCGGGGGCGGAAAAAAGTATTTTGTGGCACATGAAAAGTGTATAAAATTCATATTTCAGTGTCCATACATAAAGTCTGATTGGAACACAGCCATGTTCATTCATATACATATTGTCTATGGTTACCCTCCTGCTGTAGTGGCAAGAATGACAGAGACTATGGTCCCAAAGCCTAAACCATTTACCATCTAGGCATTTTTAGAAAAAGTTCATTGGCTGTGGTATGGAGAAACTATAGTAATTTATATTAGTGAGAATGACAATAGAAAAGTCATTCCAAACTGTGGACATTCAGCTTTTATGCAAATTGAAGGAGTCTATTCATTTTTGTCCTGATCAGTCAGAAAATGGTGCATAGAATTGGAATGCAGTGAGAAATTTGATTCCAATGTTAATATTCAGATTACTGAGTTATTTTCTAATCATAAAAGTGATGCGTATTCATTGCAAAATGATGGGCAAACAGGTCCCTTCATCTAAAATCATTCCAGTTGAATTAAAGAATTAAATTTAAAATAAAATTACTGAAGTACTAGAGTAGAATCTTAAGTGATTATAGTATAAATTTGGGGATAACAAGGTCTTTCTAAGACCACACTCAGGGCAAAAATTCATATTCACACATTTGTCTACTTATCTAAAAAAGAAACTATAAACAAATTTTTAGTCACAAATTGGGGAAAATATTAGGATGTGATAGACCGGGAGTTAATATCTTCCTTTATCAAAGATTCCTAGAATATATAAATAAGAAATGGACAAAGGACTAATATTAAAAAATGGACAGTTAAAGATAGAAAATTCACAAAAGATACATATGAAAAAATAGCATCTATTTGCTGAGCATTTACTACATGCTTTGTACACTCCTAAGAATTTTACATTTATTATCTTATATAATCCTCTTAACTTTATTATCAAAATTTTTCATCTACTTTTTAAAGATAAAGGAACAAAAGTGCTAATGTCAATAATGCAAATTAAAATAGTAACTATTGAATTACCATAGATTACAAAGCTCAGTGTCAGTATGGGTTGGGAAATGAGTGGTCTCATATATTCTTCGTGGGACTATAAATTGTGACACCCTGTCTCAGGTAGTATATATATGAAGTGTTTAAAACATATGCATACCCTTGCCTTTTAAGTGTAGAAATTTATCTTACAGAAACGATCAGATAAATACATAATGTAGTCAGTCCTTGCTTTTTTACATAATGGAATTCTAGACACATTGGTGGAAGTGAATGAATGAAGGTTAAAAAAGTCTGTTCCAGAGGAATTTTACAAAGAAATATAAAATTTCTGCTACGCATTTCCTTTATAATCAGGGTATGGCAATATGTATTTTCAGTACTTTGTTCGAGTTCTTTTACCATTGTTCTTTTCTCTGATGATGGAATACCAATGAATGGGTTCAGTGAGCGTGTGATTGCAATGCAAGATTAGCCACATTCAGAATGCTGAGTGCTGTTCATCTGTGTGCCAATTATAAAAGTATATGATACTGTGCTTCTTATCACTAGTAGCAGCACATTCACTTTTTTCTTCTTTCTACCCCTCTTTGTAAAAAATAAAAGCAAATGCAATAAAATATTCAAAGACAATGTAGCTACCATGTAATGGCTCAAAATGTTTACTTATTAAAAAGAGTATATTCAGAATATGAAAGAAGCTTTAGTAGTATGGAACATGTGAAAGTCAGCTTTTTGTATAATGTCTATTTATAATAGCAAAATATATGAAACAAACTAATGGACTAATTAATTTTATATTTACTCAAAATTATATATATACATTTATATGTAATCTTCTATATTTATCAACATGGCAAGGTGCTCATCATCGATTTTTAAAAGAAAAATAGGTTAAAAAGATTTGCATCAAATGGTTCCCTTTTTGTTGAAAAAGGAAATACTTTAACCCGTAATTGTTTTGTGAATGATGAAGGTAAGGTTCCAATTTTGTTCTTCCAAATAGCCAATTGTCCCAGCATCATTTGCTGAAACATTCACTTTCCCTCCATTGATCTTCACTAATCTACTGCTGTACATCACGGATCTATGTACGTGTAAATATTTCTAGATCCCCAGCCTGTTCCTCTAATTTTCTATATTTGTACTCTGCTTCTCTTATTATAGTTTTATAATGAGTTCCTCTGTTTTTCTTCCTTTTAAAAGAGAGTCTCTTGACTATTCTTGGTTCTTTTGACATTTATAAATATTTTAGAATGGTTATTTTATTAAATTCTACATTGAATCTTTATAATATTGGTCCAAGTTACATTGTACCCATAGATCAACTTGAGAAATGACATTTCTATAGTATTGATTGGTCCACCATCTGAATGTGGTACATATCTTCATTTATTTAAATCTTCAATATCTCTCAATGACATTTTATAGTTTTCTCAATAGCACTGTCTTTTGCTACATCTATTTCTAGTTGTCTTCATTTTTGATGCTGTTATAAATAATATTTTAAAATTTCATTTTCTGAATATCTGACTTAATAGATGAACAAAATTGAATTTGTGTTGATGTTGAATCAGTAAGCTAATAAATTCTTAGTAATTATTTGCCTATGGATACCTTCAGATATCCTTTAGATTCTATATAACTGCAAATAATTCAAGTTTTCAAACACTTATCCTTACAGTCTTATCTTACCTTACCATACAGGCTATGACTTCAATAGTGTTGAACAGAAGTAGTGATACAGGAGTTGTTGTCCTTTTCTTGATTTCCAGAAAGACTTCATTGCTTTTTTTTTTCTTCTTCTTTTTAAGAGACCTTTTTATCAGATGTAAGAATTTTTTCTTCTAATACCAGTTTTCTAAGAGTTTTTTTTTTTTAAATATCTCACTCAATTTTTTTTTT